CGTCCGAATGGGGGTAGGTGATCCGTCATCTTGACCTATATGTTGATGTTACACCCTGTACAACAAAGTTACACGCGCGAGTTATACAGTTATAAATTTAACGATCCAAGCACCCGACATAGAACCGACGTTACCAATTTATGGACAGAGCAATTATTGCGTCGTACAGTCTAATTAGTTATTTGCGATTTTTTTAATTATATAGCTAGGTTGGTGTTACGCGTATCTCGGCACATCGATAAACAGGTAGCCAAGGTAGCTGGCAGATCCCCACTTCCCTCGGTGCAAGTAGTAATACCGTAAATGTGGTCAGCCGCCAGTCCAGATTCTGATGGAAATCGTCGGCCGCAAATCCAGATTTCCACGAGAAACCCGAAACGCATCCGACATTCCCTCGCGCAAAACTTGGTGAGAAATCGCGGAATTTATGCGCCCGCCGCCGCCGCTGCCACCACCACCACCACCACCACCACCACCACCCACCCGCGTTTACATTAAATTAAAAGCTTAATTAACTGTGCGCGCTGCAAGTGGCAATCGATGGCCGACGAAATTTCGTAATAAGCCGTTACCTCATTAAAACTAACGCGTGAGATTGGAAACAACGCGTCATAGTGACGAGGAGTCGACAACGCGTAATAGTGATGATACGAGGGGGAAAATATTTTCCAAAGCGTACAGTTGAACATGAATGCTCGAAGAGAAGAAAAAATCGAGGCATCGGGCGGAAAAAGTAGGTATTTAAATTATTACGATATTCTCCGCCTGATCGTAAAAATTCTGTATACTGACCCAACCTTCAATAAAATATATGTCAGTTAACTGTAACGTTTTCCGCAAATTGCCGAAAGAACGGTATCCACGTGCGTTCGAATTTCCGCAGTTATTAGTTTTCCGCAAAACTTGATTTCCGACTCGCGCTGGTCTCCGTGCGACGGAAAAAAATTCCGTCGAAACGAACGTTCGAACAATCGAGAGTGTTGCGAAATTGTTGAGATCGCGTTCGTAAACTGCCATTTGCGCATTCGTGTGCGTAATTAAATTTACACGATTAAACATGCTAAAATGTTATCAAGCCCGATATTGTGATCGAAAGTGGCAGCAACGTGTTGCAACGATACCGTAATCGTCACGCGCAATTTCAGTCAAAATAACCGCGATATCGGCGCTCGCCGCGCGCGCGCGCGCGCTGTCATTGTCGTCCGCGCGCGCGAACGAGTATCCGTTGCAAAAGTTCAACAATCCACATCCAGCAGACCGGACGACTCGCAACGCTCGCGACAAGCCGATGCGTGTGACCCGCCGCTGACTGACGTCAACTGTCTGTCGACATCCCGCTTGTTTTCAGAGAAATGCCAACGATCGATTTTACATCCTCGCGTCGCACGCGCGATATTACGAAAATATGTTCATTCACACTCGCTTGATTTGGTACTTATCGGGACCCCCCGGCTACAAGTGTGAGATAAAGAGAAGAATGAGCGTCATCGAGACGAGCGATTGCAGCAACGATCAGCAGTCAAGTGACTGTGTAGCGATATATACGGGGGGGGGAGGGGACACCTCGCTTTCCTCGCCGAGTTACATTTTAACGAGCCATCCTTTCGCCAGTTCTAAATTGATTTTTCTCCCGCGAAAACATTCACGCGTCGATGGCTTTTAATTGACTCATTCAATCTTTCGCGAATAAAGTTTCGAAGTGCTAAATTGATGGCACGACCGGAATATGTTCCGGAGTCGTTTTTGCTTTTTTTCTCTTTTTTTGTTTTTTATTTTTTTTTTTTTTCAATAGATTTTAGTCAAAGCTTGTATTTTACTCTCTAGTCGTAGCTTCTTCGGTATTTTTTAACGAAAATATTAAATGATAAACACACGTTACGGCTGATTGTATTTTTTCCGACTCGCAACGTTACGTATTTTCGTAACTTAACTCTGAACGAGACAAAAAGAGGGAAAAAATATATCATCGGAATAAAATTTACTTAAACCTGACTCGCTGTGTTGGACACAATGTTGTCTTTATTATCTCGCCAACCCCGAAGCTTAGTTTGTCAGCGACTCCCCTTATTCCTTGTTCGAGTTAATTAATCGGAAACTGTTCGGGAGAATACAGTTTACAGAAGTCGATGCAAAGTCGCGAAAGAGTGTGCCGATAGTTAAGTCCGCAAGAATTATCCATCGTTGAAATATAATGCGGTTTCAAAGTGGGACACCCTGTATAGATAAAAACGAGATGCGGGGGAAGAGAGCCAAACTTAACAGACTCGTTTACGCAAATCTCTCGTCGCTATCGTTATCAGCAGTGGCGATAACGACGTATAGCAATTATAGTAACTGTTTTATCGTTGCTGGAAGCGCACCGATTCCTCGGCCGATAAATTATGTATGAGTGTCGTGAAGCTACGAGACATTGTTAGGCGAAGGGCGAAAGGGCAAAGGGCGAGTGCTGGCGCACGGGAGGAGGGCAGGGGACGGGAATACATATTTATATTCATCCAACGGCCGTATATTTTTTGCATAATATAGACCGCCCGCCGATCGCGCGTCGCCACGTTGTCGTGTCATCCGAAACATCGCGAGTAATTGAGAAAAAAAAAGAAAATGGAAAAAGCCATTTTACGTATGTTAACGGAGAAAAAAAATATAAGGTAGCGCCGAGGAGGGAAAGCTGAACGCGGAAATCATAAAGGCTCGTTTGCAAGAGACGATGCCACTGAAGGGATATGCATAATTATCATAGTTGTGCAGTTGCACGAGCGTCGAATTGTTAAAATGTTGAGTCTGACGAGGAATTCTGGCGGGCTGAAAACCAGCCGGTGAATTTAGGAAATTCAAGCAGTACGCAAGCACGCGAAAAGAACTCGCTGGAAAACTCTCTAGAATTAATCACCACCGACTAAAATGGCTGAACTGCGTGACATAGTTGCCTTTCTCTCTCTCTCTCTCTCTCTCTCTCTCTCTCTCTCTCTCTCTCTCTCTCTCTCTCTCTCTCCCCCCCTCTCTCTCCCCCTCTCTCTCTTGGAGCAGAATATAAAACTGAATATGCGCGTATACATCTTACAATTTACATAATGCATGAATGTTAATATATTTTACGCTTGAAAAATCCGCTCGTGTCGATTGTAATGCCGACATAGGTCGCCGTTCGTTATTAATTTTACAATGGTCAACGTAACTCAAAAATAGATAATAACGTTACGCACCACACGCGCACGTTTCCGTGACGAGACCGGTTGAATTAAAAATATTTAAACATATATCCACCTATCGCCACGTGTATAGCTATCAAAGAGAGTAATCATCCGAGGAATCCCCGATGAAACGCACGCTTCTTCCTAAATATATCGAATATATCTTTCTGTGTGATTGGAAATACCGAAAATGTTTTCGACAATGTAATGTTAGGCATTTCGGCATTTCGGTGTACTACAATCGATTTTCCAACAAACTGAAATTTTGACAGCAAGATTCAGCAACAAATGTACGTACGTACATACCAGCACTCTGGGCGTAACTATTTGATCAATGGTCGCGCATGTCGAGGAAGCTGGCTTATAATATCGTGGAAAGTATGCGTCCTATGCGCCATCCCTGCGGCCGACTAAATATTCGACTACCATAGGGACCTGCGAAAATTTTCCGGTATCCCGTGCTTACCGAAGTGCTCGGTACGGGATAATAATTGCTAGACTGCTATTTTGAAACTATTTTTGGTGGCACTGCATCGTTGCGATATTATAACAGGATATGGAGCATTTCTGAGAGAGTAAAGCTCGAGAATAATGAGACGGGCGGAGGCTTATGTTACAACGTAAAGTTATAAAGCGAAAGATGATTAGCCTATTCGCGTTGGCGAATGTGAAAATGAAAGAGCACAACAGTCAAAACTCTGGTCTGTGAGGAACGCGCGGAAATATATTCTTCATTTAAATAAATATAATATTCTTGATAAAATATATAGTAAATATATAATATATTAAATAAATATAATATTCTTGATAAAAATTCTTAATAAAAAACCAAAATACACACACACACACATACACGCACGCGCGTGCGCGCACATATAAACATCGTAGAGCACAACAAGCGGAATTTACATCGATGAATATTTTAATATTTTTCTTCTCCGAAATTAATCTTACGAATAATACATAATAATAAAGATACAAATATTTCCTTTTTCGGAATTCCTCTCGGTGAAGTTTGAATGTCAGCACGATTCGTTTGATCGAAATAATTCTTCTTTTTTGAATAGCCAAATGTTTGTATATTGTGCAACGTGCGTCCATCAAATCTTGCGATATGCAAAAACATATACAGGCGAACGGAAACGGTGTTTAATATTTATTAGAGGAACTACATCATAGCAGTTGACACACACGAGATGGACTAGATTGATAATACGGTTTTGATATTCCAATGCATTTAATCATATTTTATGTTCTTACTTCTAACGGAATATTATATTGGGTTGTTCAGTGCGTTTGTAGTGTTTCTTTTTTTTTTCTTTTTTCTTTTACTGAAATTGAAAGTTTTATAATCACTTTCTACAGCGTTTTAATACGGCATTTTACACATTACAGTTCAGTATGCGAGAATGCTTTGGCTTGATTTATTCATGTGAAAATTTGATGTCAATTCAGGCAACAAGAAATAGATAGATATTAATCGTTTCCCAAGAAACCAATTCCCTAATAAACAACTTATAATTGGTGCACAAAAAATATCATATCGTGCGGTAATGTCCTTTATTCACAAATTGCAAATTGTTCATTAGAAATTTACATTGGCAATCGGACTGCTATTGTTACGGCGCATTGTTATTATCAGAAATTTTTAATCGCGTAAAAAGTATAATTAAGAAAGTATAATAAACAGCAAAGTATGCACACATTTTGAAAAAAGAATAGAATTATAATACCAATAATTATACATCCCTTGCACACGTTATACGTGCACTCTAATGGATTCGTGGCGCTATCTCTAGACCACCATTGAAATCATCCTGCTAGAAACGTACTTCGATATGCCACGAGTAGCTTTGACACGTGTCTGCACTTTTACGAGGAATTTGCAGTTTCTTGTTCGGGCCCGGAGATAAGACCGATAATTTTTCTACGCGATAGCCTGTGCGGGGAAAAGGTAAAACTGGTTCGACGAGTGTGCTCCGGTCACTTGCCTTTCACTCTCGACAATCTAGTTTCACGAGAGGCTATCGATCTCGCAATACAGTCGGCTATATATCGGACCTCCTGCGGACTGTATCGTTCCCGCGACAACACTGTTTACACGGCATACGTGCATTATCGTAAGTGAGATGACGTAAATAACAGAAATTGCACAAGCCTCCTACATTCGGAATTGCTTACTCGCAATCTCTCATATCTCTCGCGCGACCGTAGTGTGCGGCAGCACGTGCTTCAGAACAGTCGGAGGAATCACTCGAAGCAGCAGCAGCAGCAACAGCAGCAACAGCGATAATAGTGAAACATGTTCTCCTGGAGAAACGTCCTTGTCGCCGTGACAAAACCACCGCAGAGATTCGCGAGAAAATTACATCTGTCGAAATGCCGGTGAATATATAACAATTAATTGTCTTTTCCTGGAAGAAAATCTGTGTATTATCATGCTACTTCGTACTTGAGTTCTTTCTTGATATCTGGGAAAATTACATCTCACTAGTATTTTGAATTTTGATATATATTGCACAGAAGATAGTGGAAGACAATTTTCTCAGCAAGAACCAAACGAGGGATGACATTAGTTATCCAGATATAATAAGATAGAATTTGGATGGTTTTATATATCATAAGCCGATGAAATATATCTCAAGTTGAATATACTTAGCAAGATGTGACTTTGTCTGGATATTTATTAATTGTGTCGACCTGATATAAATTCTTACACATATTTGTCATGTTATTCACAGGCAAGAGGCAATGATAATAAATGGACAAAAAGTAGCGGAAGAAATTAAAAAAGAATTAAAAATGGTCGTGGATACCTGCATAAATGCTGGCAAGAAAAGGCCAAAGTTAGTAGCAATATTAGTAGGAAATCACCCATCTAGCAAAGCTTATGTTGATAGAAAAATGAAAGCAGCAAAGTTTGTAGGTAATGTCACTTTCAGTTTCCGCCAGTTATTTTTCCACTGGAATGGACTTGCAAGTCAACATTGATAACATTGACAATTGATAATTGAATTTTGTTAATAAACAGGAATTGAAAGTTATACCGTTCATTTGGGAGAAAATATAACGCAAACAGATCTTCTCAAGGAGATTAACAGTCTAAATAGAGATCCAACAGTTGACGGAATTTTAGTGCAATTACCATTGCCAAAAAGCATGAATGAGAAAGAAGTATGTCAAGCAATAATTCCTAAGAAAGATGTGGATGGTTTTCACTTGGAGAATATCGGTAACCTAACACTGGACAGCAGGAGCATTGTACCAGCCACTGCGCTAGCTGTCAGAGAATTAGTAATTAGGAGTAAAATTGAGACTTTTGGGAAAAATGCTGTCGTTGTGGGTAGATCAAAACATGTCGGGCTGCCTATTGCATTGTTACTTCATTCGGATAGCAAAGGTGATTGGGTCATTAATTCAGTAGCGAATTTACGACATTTTTGGAGCTAAATTAAAGCTATATCATCAGTAACCATGACATTTTATCTTACGATAACTTTCTCTTGATCTTCATTCGCTCGATTATAATCAACATGCTCTTGTTTGTTTAGAGCCGATTGACGTCGATATTGATAATTATCATTACGATATTGATAACTAAAATTTCATCATAATATTTTATCATTCTTAGGCGAAACAGGCGCGTTAGATATGACTACAACTATCTGCCATCGTCACACTCCCCACACTGAACTGGAAAAGTTTACGAAATTAGCGGATCTGGTGATAGTGGCAGCCGGAGTTCCCGGTCTAATTACCAAAGAGATGGTAAAGCCGGGTGCGTGTATAATCGATGTTGGTATCACTAGAATGAAAACAGCAGATGGCAAGTATCGACTGGTAGGAGACGTGGATTACGACAGCGTGAAAGAAGTTGCCGGGCATATTACGCCGGTTCCTGGCGGCGTAGGTCCTATGACGGTAGCAATGTTGATGAGGAACACAGTAGCTGCTGCTATGGGGAACCAAGAGGATCAAATCAAACAGTCCGTTGATTTAGAAAGTAACGAAGCATTTATATAGCATATCGGAAAGCAAGTATTATTATGTAATTTATTCTATAGGAGAATTCTATTCGATTCGATAAATATTTGTTTCCTTATCATGTATAGCATACATGAAGTATTATTGTTGCGGAATGAAGAAATGACATAAAACTATTATTTCTTAATTTATGGTCAATTTTTAATTTAATTTTGTTAAATCTGTAAGAGAACGTTCACAAGAAAGTGAAATATTAAGAGTGCACCTTGTAAATTGTAATTAGAAAATTAGAAAGAAAGAAAAATATAATAATATAATAACATAATGATAATAATAATATAATAATATATGTAATAATATAGATAATGTATATAATATATATAAAATTAATATATATTATATTGTAATATTAATTATATATATATATATATTGTATAATATAATATTATATAATTATGATATATATATATAGTGTTATATGTGTATATATATATGTATATACACATACATAACAATATTATGATACAATATATATATGTATATATTATATAGGAAAGAAATGTAAATATGTATTTCAATAAAATTTTGATCTGTATGTAACAGCAAAAACGTACATGTGTCTTGTTTATTAATTTTGTAGATATGCGAGAAAATATATGCTTAAAATTCTTGCAAAATATAATGGAAAGAGATATATTTCTAAAATAATATATACATTTACAATCAATCGAGCAAATCTTCAAAATAATCCGAACACTTTTCTTTTGCTCAGTCAATAAGTAACTGCAAAGTTAACGCGACGTGTAATCTATGTTTCAAATGTATCTTTCCTCATAATTATATTGCAAGTAATCCATAATTAATTCACGATTCGAACTATTTTGTACATATGCGAAGGAATATCAAATGATATCATACGATACGTACCAGCAGCTGCACAAGCAGCTTCATATGTGTATTCTTCACTGCTCCTCAAATTAAACGTAAATAGAACGAAATTTCTTATCAACTATAAGTACTACTACAAGCAATAAGCAAATGGCCGAATTTCACGTAATAAATATACAAACATCGTTTAATTAGGAAATCGATATATTATCTAAATTAACAACAAATATGTAAACACTGAACCGACAGATTTATTATATTAAAAAGATCGAACAATTCCATGTAAACTACATTTGTCGAACAATAAGTAAAAAAATAATACAAATAAAAATTAAATTTTTTTTACTTGTTTGCCGTATCAATACCGGGAAGTTCTAGAAAAATCTGCAGTAAATCTTACTAGCAGTAAAAGTTTCAAGCATTTTATAAATTTATATATCCACAAATCTATCATAAGACATAAACATCGAGTTTAATTCGAATATATCCTAAGTCCTAATAAATTTAGTTCTTCAATAAAAAAAATATTAAATTAAAACAAAAATTTGTTTTGTATTTTTTTATATAGTGTTTTATAATATTCTTGAAAAGAGAATTAATTTTTTTGAATACATAATAATGAACCTCATGATTTGTTGATTGTGTTTAAGCTTTTAAAAATAAATTTCGTAATCGCAGCTGTACAAATATTGTCTCTTTCATAGATGCTTACGTATTAGATGAGTAAAAATGTTCTGGGCTTTAGATTTCATACAATCGAAACCACAGCCGATGAAAAGTGGATTCTTTATGACTCCAAACGCAAAAAATCATGGGTTGATCTTGGTCAACCTTCGACATCGATGATGATCCAATATCCACACTAAGAAAGTTTTGCTCTGCATCTGGTGGGATTGAAAAGGTGTATCGTATTATGAGGTGTTACAGCCGGGTGAAACAATCACGGCAGACCGCTATCAATAATTGAGCAATTTGAGCGATGTGTTGGAGGAAAAGAGGCCATTTATTGGTCAAGGACGTGGTAAAGTGATCCTGCTTCATGACAATGGCCGACCTGACATGTTGCGAAAGCGACTCAGAACCATATTTTAGCGTTAGGCTGGGGACTTCTCCCGCACGCCCAGGGCGCATAGCCCAGACATGGCACCTTCCAATTACCACCCATTCCGGTCGTTGCAGCATCATTTGGCTGGTACACATTTCGTGACGCTCGTGAAGAGATACGAAAATGCATCGATGACTTTGCATTGACCGCCTCGAAGCCGATGAGCTTCTATCGTCAGGGAATTCGCAAGCTCGAAAGATGGCAAAAGGTCATCGATGCAAACGGGGAATATTTCGCTCATTGATATATTTTTGTTTATTTTTAAATAAAGATTAAATTTTGCAAAAAAAGTCCAAAACTTTTTCGCTCACCCAATAATATCGATATCTTTGCAACATTTTTTAATTTTAAATGAATGTCGTATAATTATGAAATATTACAACGAATAGATTTGTTCTATATTAATTTTCTTTTTCAGTAAAGTAATATGTTAAAGGAAATATATTCCAGATCGTATTTGACAGACTATCTTATATGCATCCGAAATACACAATACCGAAAAGTATACGATATTATATATAATTCACAACAGACTTTATTTGATTATATCGTATATCTTAACAGGAAATACATGAAGCATGTAAAAAATGTGATGCCGCCATCGCAAGCCGTGATGGCTCGTACATAGAATAAAATCAGAACGGAGGATCGTTGAGACGCGCGATGTTGTGCAACATATGAATATAAATAATAAGTTACAAAGTTACAATGTATAAACATCGGAAAGAAATATACACCGCGTATTCGTACTAATAAACTTAATTGCCTATTTGCTAGGATCACAGTTACATTTATAATATTTGTAGGTCATTATACACCGTTTTTTCCGGCATCTTATCGTCGAAAACATTGTCACATGTTGTCGTTATATTCTCGCGTCCGTATTGCATATTCAAATAAGTAAATCTAATATTTAAAAACGACAATGTGTGATTTATTTTCAGAGAAGCATTCTCGATTCTGTGACGGACACGCTGTATCGTCTCTCGTATGTTGACACTAGAATACTTGGCGCGCGAGACGCTACCGCGTTTCCTGACTAAAATAATGTAATAATAATGATGATGGTGTATGATTAATAATAATAATAATAATAATAGTAATAATAATAATAATGTCGTTCGAGAGCCTATTATGACTAGGTGATATTTCTATGTTCTCGATGGCGTTATCTAGCGGTAATACTACTATCGCATTTCGATAGAAACACGGAGTGGTGTCGATTATACTTCAATTAAAAGTAACTTTACAAGCGCGTGATAATGTGTTTATAATATTATGGCTTAAAAACAATTTTAATACACTGTACATCATCCCGATTAGACACGATTTGAACTTCTCAAAACTCGTCCTCGTGACCCTCCTCGTCCCCGCATTGAGTGTAGTGTGATTACAACAATCGCGGCTGAGTAAGAGCACAGTTGCATTTGCGATCGTTAAACGTTGTTGGGAAAAGGGGCTAAGTTGGGACGCTATGCACGTATGCTCGCGGCACCAAGCCCCTCCGATCACCTTTTGCGCACAGCAACCACTTGTCATCTACCTCTAATATTACTTTCAGTTTCTCTCCTTCCACGAATGAAAGATGACCAGTGTCCGACGGTATACTGTGAGTGAGGGTACGAACTTTTCTGCAATCGAGATGCGCGAACCGTTATCGTACCGACCTAAGGAAAGAGAAAAACAAAGGAAATGGCTAAAGTACGAAGCAAATGAACAAACGAAACACACAGACAAAACACAGCATAAAACGAACACGCAAATCAAGGATATCTGTAATTGACATGACACTTGAATGTAAAGAATAAAAAAAGAAACAACCAATTCTTGTTAAGAACACTATGAATAATTTATGCGTGCGGTATCCGAGCTCACCTATGTCGTGGCTTCGTAACTGGATTATTCCTCGAAACAGTAGCAACATTTGGACGTGGTAAAGAGGTGGAGGCGGCTCGTCTGTGAGGCAAGATTGGATTTTTGTCGTTCGACGTTATCCCAAACGATTTGTAGGGTAAAGAACTCGGTCGTGTCGTGTGAATTCGTGGCGCGCCCAACGCATCCTGATCAACGCGACTAGTGCGACGCGTCACGTCTTTCATTTTTGTATCCACAGGTTTTTTCGGTTTCGCCTTCATTGCGGTAGGTGTCTTTGACCAAGGGAATTCCGATACGGGAGATTTTACCGGTCTGCCAGCAATCGGTGTAGTATTCGACTGCTTCACCGGCGACGTGAGCAGTCGAGGTATCTTCGACTTCCCCAGTGCTCCGAATGTGCGAGCCGGCGATGGAGGTGTCGTTAAAGCCGGCTGATTCTTACTGCTTTCCTTGCCAATCATCAACTCCCACTTTTCCTGGAGTTTCCGGAATTTTGTTTCGCCGGTAACACCGTCTTCGTCGCTCGCTTTCGTCTCGGGAGTCTGGAGCTTCGGGTGTTGCGGCTGCCTACTTGTCGCTCTATTTAAGGGGGAATGTTCCAGACTGTCCGTGTAATCCTCGGAATCTTCGGAGGTTAATTTGTCCAACGCGTAAAACGTTTTCGAACTAAGGGCACCACTGAAACGTTTCTTCATGTTTTGTGGATCGCCTTTGTGCATGACGCCGCATTTGTCATCGTAAGCGATGCATGATCTTGGTCGTATTTTCTTTGGACTAGGAACCATTCCATAGGATTCAGATTCCTCGGTCTCAAGCTTCTTCAGAGACATATCGGCATTTCTAAAGTTCACGGCCTGTAAAATTATATCGTGTGTGTGTGTGTGTGTGTAAATATAGAAACAATGCCAAATCGGTAGAACAAAGAACCGGGAAAGATAAATCAATATTTAGATTTACTTACGTTCATAGCATGACTATTTATACTCCCAAAGCTATTTTGCAGTTGACGGTATTGATAAAGAAGATCCAGATGAAACGGACAGAATGCAAGCGGATTTAAGATGTATAAAAAAGAATCGACGACTTCTCGTGCGCTGGAATTAGCTAAGGCTCCGACAAACAAGCTGCTGTTACTGTAATGCTTCCGCAAGATTGATTCGCGAGTGCACAAATATGCGAACCACGCGTCTAGAGCTCTTAGGCTAGAAAAAAAGAAATGATATTAATAATGAAAAGGAGAATATGATATATAATATATAATAATATATTTATAATGATCAATTAGTCACTTATCTAATACCAATCGCATACTAAACGAGTAAAGATGACACAACAAATAAAATTGCATTGTAATCCGATATATACTTCATTTAAGATTTCCAAACGCAAACTTACTTCAACAAACCAAACACAAACGCATGGAACTTCAGCATTCCTTCCGTAATAACGTCCTCGCCGTTGATCCTCTGCACTAACTCGTTCAACGTTTTTGTCAGGGGTCCTTGCTGAGAACTAGCTTCGACGACTTGCCACACGCTATTAGTAATTGGTCCAAAGGTGGAGTTCAAGTGGGGTTTCAAACCGTCCGACATCATAGCATATAAAGCCGGGCACAAGTTACTAAGGCAGATCTGTGCACACTCGTTCTTCTCGTTGTAATTGTGACGAGTATGATCGGTGTCAGCGTTCCAATACTTCAACAAGAGATCGACTGCCTTGTTTACAGATGACACCATTTCTGCGAAAGATACATGTGTAGCATATTGAAAAAAAAAAAAAAACAACCTGACGATATTCTTATTTATGATACTCAAATTAAACTAAACACGCTTACTTTTCTTTTCCTCCAACTCCATTAATTTGTCGTCAACCATCTGATCCTGATTTTGTTCATTTACAGCGACATTCAAATTATTTGGCTAAAATAAGCACAAAATTATCGAAATCATAACACAATAAGGGCGAGCTACTCGTTTACTGCTCGTCATCTTACCTTAGGGTCTGTATGCTTTTCTCTTTGGTGTACAGCAAAACTAACGGTTTTCCTTTGCAATTCGCCCATATCGACGTTCCTGACGAGCGGTTCCTTATTCATTCTTAGAGCTAAAAATTTCCTTACGTACGACCTCAGTTTAACATCGGCGTTCTCGGTGTCCCCGTCGCTGCTTTGCGACGAGAGACCACTACGTTTCAAGTAATCCTCCAATTGCTTGACATCGTCGTCGCTGTGTTGAGAAGTTCTCGACTCCGCATTCGTGTTAGTCGCTTCATTTAATCTCTCTGAAATAATTAACATTACGCGTTCAGCTAACTAATGGGACAACACGCCAATAATGTCGAGTCGAGAGAGACATTACGAGAAGAGAGAAAGCCAATCGTAGAAATTCGAGTAAGTTTTCGGTGATCCATTTGTCCTTACCTATGTGGTATCTCTCTTCCTCCGTCTCGTCGACGTCCTTTTCCGAATCGATCGTTCTTCCGCGGCATAATAGCTGCAAGTCGTTATTCATGTAGTATGGTTCTTGCAGGGACATTCTCTTATTTACCTCCACGGCTTGCTCCTCCGTTTCGCCCACGTCTCCCATCTCGAACATGCTGTACCGTTTACTCGCGAGAACCTTGTTCTTTCGCAAGATGCTTCTCGGCAATGGCGGTCGCGGTGGGACACGGCTGTTGTTGAAATCAGGCTCGCCATCGCCTTGTGGCAACGATACAGATCGCTTCGGTAGAATCGGACAAGCCTGCCTTGTGTGATTGACCAACCTGTGCATTTTCTTATCGTTGTTCACCAGGCTAGCCTCCGAACTAATACTGTCGTAACGATATAGATACAGCGGGTTGACTGCATTGTTCGGCAACGGCTGTTGCTGATTCGTCGAAGAATCTGTTAAAATTGTCGACGAGCCTCTGTACCCGGAGGACGGCTGCGTCGCGGTGCTACTCGTCGACGAGGTGTTATTCGGTACAATTTCGCTGATAGGTCGACCCTTGTGACGCATCGGAGGAGATAAACAGAACAGAGGTCTCCTGACTTCTTCGTTCATATTGATATGCCTTGAGACTTCCGGCACGTCGTGCAAGATCTTCTTGTACTCGTTCGGTAACAGAAACGTTAATGATTCCCAATCTTTTATATGTGCAAATCCACGTTGTCGCAGAGCGTCTATGTCGTTGCACGAGAATGGTCTACTCGTGCGAACAGTGCGCTTCCATTCCGTCTTATTTTTGTCGAATGTGTGCGGCTTCAATGCTACATTGTCGACTTTGGTATCTTTGATGTTGAGGAACGACAGATCGGGCAACGTGTAATTGGGATACACCACGTAAACGGGCTTCTTATTAACTATCGTCTCTTGCAAAAGAGGCCCCTGGTCTTTCGTAGGAGGAATGAAGATCAAGGAGGTCTGAACCGCGTTGTCCTCCATTTCTGCGTTCGCCTGTATCCCTGTCGTTCGGCATATCGGATATTTTTTCTCCACCATGCCGACCCAACCATTTTTTTGCTGCTGCTCAAAAGGACTATTGATTATATCGAAACTCATTTGACCGCTTGTGCAACCTGACTTGGATATACTCTCCGATAGCTCTTCCACTGACGCTGACGACGTCATCTCTATCTTATCGTCTTTGATAGGTGACGCACATTTTAGAAAGTTCAACATTTCTCTTGGATTCTCCGTATCTCGATTAGCCATATCGCGCCTGATCCAATTGATAGAGAAATCATCTTCCGCTACATGACGATCTCTATTGTTATCCTGGTTCTGTCGTTGTATCTGAGTGTTAGTATTGGTCGCGCTATCACTGCCACTGTTGCTGGTGGGCCAACCGTTGTCGCTAATGGAATCCGATTGATCCAACGTGAGACTCATTCCCTCTACACTCATGCTCTTTTGCTTCATGAATAATCTCACAAGACTTAGATTCTGTAGCTTTTTGGTACAAGCATTATCCCCATTGTCCGAGCTCTCCGCGTTTGTCGAACGACTCATCGCAGATCCCGAGCTTTGTAGCCGTTGTATCGGATTGCTCGATTCGGCAGAATCAACCTAGATGTCGCAAAGAAGAATTCATATTGCGTGATTACATAAAGTACGAGTATTGTTAATTGTTACGATTAGCGTGTCAATTTGATTGTATCTACACTTACGCTAAAATTAAGAGGTATATTAGTGTGCTGGAACTCTCGGACACGAGAAAGATCTGGTAAGCTTTGGCTTCGTTTACTTATTCCACCAAGCGTCAGGTTAGCAGCGCTTTGTAAGATATCCGGCATCGTGTTGTTGTTACCGGAGGGATGACGAGTTATTACCTTGTTCATGGAGGAGTGTTTCAAATTGCTCCATGTCGTATATATTTTCGAGTCGGAGCATGCCATTGATAAGTCCAGCATAGCTTTCGCATTTTTCTGTTTGTCGTAGGATAAATCTGATGATTCGTATGTCTTGTGTTTATCTGTACATAGTAATTTAGTTCATTAATGATAACGAAAGATTACCTGAAGAAGTAGAAAACGCTTTAAAGAATAAGTATCATCGTGTGTATGCGTGTTTAGTTGGAACATTGAAAAAAGATTGAACTACATTAATACGTATACATTACCATGATTTTCAAAATCTTGAGAGCCATCTGAATACATAGTGATGCTACCTTCAAAAGCAATGGTGTAGTTGTTTTTATTGTTCGTTTGACAAGTAAGCAACATATCTTCACAGTCCAATGAGTCCACGCTATAGCTGCCACCAGGTGGTAATACTGGTGTCTCTTTTAACGGGGAAAATAGCAACGACGATTTGCATATGGATATCGTATCGGCGGTGGAACATGCGGAATCTTCTCCCTTAAAATAGTACATAACATATGTGATTAATACATAAATTGTATACTAAAACTCTGTTCCTTTTGTACAACATGTCAAATACAGATGATTAATAAACACTTAAAATTGTATTAAACGTGATTTGTTAGGAGTAGTCGGATTCCTTTAGAAGGTAATTATTTTATTAGGGATCATTAGAATATCAAGTTAGAATATCAATTAAGTTCTCATTTATGAAGACTATTATCATACATTTGTATCCATGCAAGAAAATTCAAGCAGTCTGTATGTTATTTGATCGGTACATATCAGTTCAATGTTAATGTGTGGGGACACTGTTTACAGCGATTAGACTTCTGCTTTTGTTAGCCTTTATCATACCTGACTACTGGTATGAGGGCTGATGGAGGAACCGATGTCAAGCTTTTCCATGACAGATCCAGATATACTGGCGTATTGTTCCCTTTGATAGTTAAACTGTGGCGATAATGGAAGATGTACGAGACTTAGAATAGTTATTGTAGAAAGATTTGCAAAATTAAACAGTTTGCATACAACTAAACTTCTATTTTGATACAAAGGTCCACACACATACTGTTGCAAGTTCACAATGTAAGAATGAAATGCATCTAGCGTCAGCTGATACTTTGCTCAGATTGTTTTACAATGATAGTGAATAATATTTGTGCTGTATCAAAAGTTTTTACCTCGGAATGCTGAACTGGTTCTGTACACATGACAGGTAAAGCTGTAAGCAAGGTATGAATGTCAGCGGTGCGAAAACTCTCCATATCAATTTCTGCCAGGTTAGCATCCAAATTACGGGCAAGGTCATCATAATAACCCAAATCTTTCGGAGAATATGAGGCAGAAAGTGATGACAGGACACTGGGATGAATATGTAGGCCTCCATCCCTGTATCTAGACAAATTACAACAAACCATAGAATATATCATAACGTATTGAGACACGTATTCAGTTACTTACCCATAATCGATAAACCATTGATATTCAACATTATCTTGAACAAACTCTGAACCAATCAGATCCTGCTGAATGGAATCTGTTGCTGGGTTAGAGTTACAGTCAGACCCTGGCGTTTGCGGATCTTCCATTACTGCTGGACCTTCTCCTGCAACTAGAAAAGAAATGGAGACATTGTATCATAACATAATGTGTAAAACACATAATTATATATGTAAGTACAAAAATGAATATCATAATGGACACACACCACAAGCGATTGTATGTAACATATGCATAATACATAATTTTATTTCTGCACGGGGACATCGGGGATTTGAGTAGTAACCTCGCGATTGAAAGGATATATCGTAATTTATTACGAAAAAAAAAATATCTAGTGACGAGATAAATAATAAATATTCCGAGAAAAAAACGCGACTTACACGGAGGTTGACTTATGTTGTAGCTCCCATTAGCAGTGCGACAATGCGACGTGAGTTTGCCAAGGAAATCGCGTCGGTGTGGGACTCGACACTCGACAGCTCAACGCCTCGCGTCATAAATGTCGCGGAAAAATACAACTCGCGCATCACAATTTCGTAACACTACCTGCTGTCACTACCGTCAGCGTTCTCGCGAGTGGAGCTCCTAGGTTTCCCTCTTTCTTCTCCCCCTCCCTCGCTCCCTTTCTCGAACTTCGAATTCAATCAATTTCGAGCTTCCCCGAACGAGATCTCGTTGCAATTACAACAATTGTTTATGATTTAATTTCACATTATACGAGAGATTCGTTCGTTCAGTTGTGCACCTTCTTATTCGGTCTCTGTGTTTAACACGAGGTAGTTGTGTACGCAAGTGTTGAAGGAAACGAGAAAGACACGAGGTGTAGAAAGTGCAATCAAAGCAGAATCAAAGCATAGCACTCGTTGATTCGTTGATTCATCGTACCAATACACGATAGTAAATTGGTATGACAGCAAGTTGATTTTAAGTGGATTTTAGTAGATTAAGTTTAGCAGAAACATGGATTCGTCGTTGATGAAATTTTCTAAAATCGTAAGCAGAAATTCGTTGAGTAAAGCGGAAGTTGTAATTCGCTTCATCCGCGTAATCCTAGTAAGTATGAATTGTAGATGATGGTTGCAAAGTTCATAAATGGAGGTTGGATAATCTTATTTGCATCTGTGTATACATGATACACCCTGTGCATCTGCATATATGTCGGCACGTGTAACGAAATGTCAGCAGGCTGGATAATTTCAACAAAAGTACATCCTGTTTCAATAATACGGTATCCCGGATATAGGCAGTAATAAATAATAGAATAATACATTCTCGATATGACGCGCATTCGTGATTCGGGGATACCGTGTTTCGCGGAAACCATCTTGATATTACCAAGCAACTGAATTTGAGAAAGCCAAAATTCGGGCTTGTTTTCTCAGAAGTGTGCTGCTCCGAATGTTATTTCCGAGGTATATAAGAACGAAAGATTTTTCAATCTATAAAAATACGACACATTCGTTACACATAAATATCCAGTCTGTCTTGCGTGTGTATGAATTCGTCGTATTTATTAAAGTACAAAATATATATTTATGTGTGCAAAAACACCCAATCTTCATATTATTGCTTCATATTTTGTTTACCGCTTGATTCATCATCTTTATTATCTTTATTTTTATTATTGCCCTTCTGAAGGATTCAGTACTACGTTATACGATTCGTTATATGATAGTCGCGACGAAACTGATACGTGAAGAGAACAAAAAAAGACACCGCCTGCATTTATGTACAAGCAGACGCGAAAATTCCGATCCTCACGCGGATCGCTTTTCCACGACGCGACGCTTCGTAGCGAAAAATCAACAACCGGCGACGGCCGTGGGAGAGATGTGCTCTTACATTTTCGTAATGTACATTTATCATTGCAGGACGATTGCCGACGATGCTTGCGTTTGGATGCATTTGGACTTCTGTGTCGCTTGCACCGCCTACACCGCCTGTTGCAGGCGAGAGGCGGTGGTCGCGCCGACACCGACATCGTCGCCAGCGGCGGACTCGTCCGGCCCGCGGAGAACTCTGCTATCTTCATGATGATGCACAGCAGCAGCACTATCATCATTCGAGTCGAGGTACGTCAGATTCTCGTACTCGCACTCGCACTCTCAGCGTCCGCTATACCATAATAGTGTAACTCTGTACGGCGCTCACGTATCGCGCTCACGAAGAATTGTCTGAGCGGAATAGTATATACGACACAGCGCGATATAGCGAGCGTGATGTATCCGTTCGTTTTATCACGATTCCCGAACCGGTGCACGGAACCGCGAACCGCGCGCGAGAACTCTCGCGCAGAACGCGATTTTTTACTGCCCTTTTAGTACGCCATCATGCGTATTTGCAACGCTTGACGTCCGAGTGCGTCTCTTCCTTGTTCCACTCGTCGAGCTGGATTCGCTTTCAACACTCTCTCGGCAGTTTCTTCCGTAAGGAACTTGACGTGAAACTTGATAAAACACACATATGCGATCCGATCGAACAATCACGTCCATCAGAAGGAACGATTGTGGTTGTCGATATTGAACATCACGAACCAATGTAATCAATTTAGAATAAAATCTCGATATATCAGAGATTATCAGTGAAAGATATCAGTCTTGCACAGAGATTTACGTATCTGGCCTGGGAAATAATTTCTCGCGGTATCTTCGAATCTGGTCCGAATAAGCAATCTACCGAGATTCGGTGAGATCTGTGCAGGGAGGATTCGAGTTTGAACGGATACCTTGAGCAAACCCGCTTACTCGATTAATCGCTCCGTAGCGGATGCAAATTTGACTTCGCGATGAGCGCGTATCGAAAGCGTATTTGCTTCGGTGATTGATGGCACATATACGAGTATGCGTTACGGACAATGAGTAAACATTGAGTCAGAAGAGTAAATTTTTGAGAAGAGAATTTCAGAGAGAAGATTCACAGAAAAGATGAGACCATTGATGATTTCGACGGTTTTCTACGGTTACTCGAGGAATCCAAGGACTCTGAAAGGACGAATAAAGCGGTTCTCATACCGATTAGACAACCAGATCGTTGCGATCGAGTAAATCGCACGGTGAAACACAACGCGCACACGCCCGTTCGTCGCGCGAAACGTCAGCCGAGTGGGCGCTCGCGCACGCACTCACAGTTCTTCACAAAGCACCCTGTTTCCGTTGTCGGTTTTATCCGCTCCTCGATCGTTCCTCGACGCGGCTCATCGGAGGACGCCTCGATCCGAGGACTCGCGTCGAATTCGCGCGTGACTTTTTTCCACGACGATGCGACGACGATCGGCTGATAAACCGACGCGATAACGCAGCGAGCGAAAAATCGCCGATCAAAACATGCCGCGCAGCTCGCCCCGTCCCGCCTCACCTCGCGATCGGCTATCGGCCGCTAGCGATTTTTCCGATCGATTTTCCCTGCCGACAATCGCACGCGCGCGCGCGCTCGCTGAAGAATTATTTTTCCGCTGCGGAGGCTGAGTCAGACTGCTCTCTTACGCGTCTCGCTCTCGCGGGAGGGCGTTTGCACACGGCACCACACGACGCGGACTCTAATCTCTATTAATAAATGCTCGTACCGCCTCGTTCACAAGAGACGGAGTGAGACGGAGAAAGAGAGGGTGGGAGGACCGAGATACACAGAAAGAACTGCTCTCTTGGGCCCTGCGTGAGGGTTCGGAGCGATCGTTTTGTGGATCCGAGTCGTCGGCGCACTCGGCACGGTAAACGGCGACGAGTCAACTTCGATGACGGTCCGCGACGGACAGCTGCACCGAATCAAAAATGCCGATCGATATCGCAGACCCGCGCGCTTCGCTGAAAGTGCGAGTGTCGATGGAGGATCGAAATTCCAAGAGCGGAGCGTTCGACCGATTATATGGCGTCTCGCAGCGGCTTGAGATTGAGAGAGAGAGAGAGAGAGAGAGAGAGAGAGCGCTGGAAAATTTCCTCCCGGTGAAATTGAATTTAGGTGATTTTAGTGAAATCAATTTCCCGTGTCGCAGCCGCGCGAAGGAGGATTTTATTTTGCACGTCGATCGTCGCATTTTGCAGTCTCGCCGCAGCGGATGAGTGCGGTTGGGAGGGGAGGGAGAGTCGTTTTCGCGTGTTTATGAGAGAAGTGTCGACACGGTTTCCGTGAAGCTCGGTGAAAAACTACACATGCACGTGTATATAACGAGTCGAATAGTCGCGATGTAAAATATTTTTCGTTTCGAGCGAGTCTTACATTAGTTTTCGCACGCAACGTCGCGTTTCACTCACGGCAACGACGCGATAGAGTCGCACGCGATACAAAATCCATGTCCGATCCCCGACGTGGGGAGCGAAGGGGATTAAAATTTGGGATTTCGTCGAACGATATCCTGTGCGAGTGTGTTCGCGTTTCTCGAGGATGCAGTGTGTCGGCAGTTGGAACGGTCTCCTTGTGTGTGGCAAACCTGTTGTTTCCCCGAGTTGAGATAAATTATAAATCGATGAATAAGACAAATTTGGATAATTCTGGATTTTGTTCGGTAAAATTGCAGTTGTGTTTTCCAAACGAGGAAAAAGAAAAAAGATCTCGCGACGCGACGTAGCAGTTAAACTCCAAACTGCTGATCTAACAATCTATTATTAACACACAATACGGGGTACAGCAACGGGACACTGTTTGTATTCCAAATATCTGTGCCAGATGAATATCTGCACAGATGTGTGTTCGAAGAGAGACGGATGAAATTTATAGCCGATGCACGAGAGAGAAAATCTTTCCATTAAGCGCGCGACGTCCGCTGCATTCGCTCGTCACAATTCGAATTTTGCGTACTGGTGTTTTTGTACATTTGCTACTTCTTTCTCGCATCGCTCTGTGTGCAGATTTATCTGTCGGTAGGAGACATGAGCTTTCTCAACTTACCAATTCAATCTCCGTTGCTACGAACGACGTCCGTTAAAAATACCTGAAAATCCCATTTGCGCGCTTATCACATGCTCGATGTTGCGAGGATTACTGAATAATTCCCGCGGAATTAAATTTCTACAATATGTATATGACGGAAAATATGTACGGCAGATTCTTCAGTTATTGAGCTCACATGTCGGGAGAAAATCGGTGAAGTTGAAAGATTAGTACGTAAGAAAATGCAAACCTTCTTCGTCTCTGGATTGATAAGATTCACGCTGCGGTCGCGATTCAGGGTGGGACGATTGTTTTTCAGATGACTTGATGAGCGTCAACGGTAATCGGGGTGCGAAGTAACTTTTATGTCACAAGCTCCCATAACTCCATCCGGTGCGTGAGTTGTGCGAGTGACGTTAGTCGTGACGCTGTAAGTGAAGAGAATAACAAAATGTTGCGATTATATTTACATACGTATATATGTATGAGAGAGGTCAGAGGGGTGCAATTGTTGTTGCTCGATACCTGCTCGCGTGTGATTTAATCGCGTGGGAGTTTTAATAATATTGCGTATCGCGACGGCACTATTATTATACGCTGCGATTATCGACGGGAAAGAAGTGATTTTAATCGAAAGCAGATGTTACTTCGGCACGATAAACTGTTACATGTCCGTGTTAGACGGTTTTAATGTAAAACGAAAATGCTCCCGCGACTAATGAATCGTCATTGACACTAATGCGCTGAGGTCGGCGCAATAATGACCCGAGATTATCAAGAAGATCAATCTTGATTCAACGTCTTTGATATTTCTCGAGTTTCTTCACTTGCTTCGCGAAAAGGCCGAGTTGATCGGCGCGTTGCATCAAATTCTTCAACTTCGGCCGGTCGATCGTTCTCGCCTGGAAGTGGCGAGGGCACGATTTCATCTTTATGCGCTTATAAATCGAAACATGCAGCAGGGACGGTATTTTTAGACGCCGCGATCGCCACTTCCACCGCGTGTCCGCAGGATCGCGATCGGTCGATCGCAGTTGGTTCGCTCCTCGCGAATAATTTGCGAATATAACGACAATCGATCGGCAGCTACCGTTGTGTCACCAAATAAAGAATGTCCTGCAAATAGTGGACAGATATGAATTCAAATGAATTTTGTAAACCCCGAAATTAACATTCCAAGATTGATGTTCTTAAAAAAGGCTCCAACAATTGTCAATTCCTTCGAACTGGCCCACTTCCTAAAAGGCACGGACTAAAAGGTGACTTTTAACGCGAGCTAAAATTGAGATTAAAGTCTCTTCCGAAATAAGAACTGTCAATTTCCTTGAATTGACCTAATTTACATATAGACGCGCAGCTTTAGAGACGAAGTGAAATGTCGAAGCGAAAAAGCGTTATTTTCTTCCTTTCTTTCTTTCAAGCTCCAAATTTGGGAATGTACTACTACATGGTTTTTTAGTCATTCAAAGAGATTTAAGCACGTACTTAGAAATACAGGTATATCGCGAGTGAATCGCACTGTGAAATATCGCGAGCAACACTGGCGATTGTTATACATAAATTTACATCTGCCAGAACGAATGGACGTTATCGAATATTGAAACTACCGGCAGGAAGATTGATTTGATCGTTTTAGTAGACCGGATAAAACGGGAAATGCAAAACAGGCCCATCGAGTCGTCATTTCCGTCGTATATTTTCACACATATGTCACATCACGCGAGACGCACTTAGATGCATTTCCTCGTCTTGCCGTCTCGGTTCTTCGAAAGTACAACGAACCACTCTCGAACGGCTCTGTCCGCTGGCGGATTAAAGGGTATCTCCTCATCGATTTTGCAGGACTTTCGAGGTCAATGACGTATCACGCTCGTACATCTCGATGACTCGCGCTACGAAAGAGATTATTTTGCGAAATCGCGTCTCTCCGCGGCTGCGGCGAAAATTGTGATTGCGCGAAAACGCGAAAACGCAGAAGACGCCCACGGAGCTCGCGTCGCCCCGCGACGAAAACCAGTCGATATTAGAGACGACTAACATACTCACGTTCATGATACCAAAGGGCAGCTGATGGCCGTGCTGTTACGCGCGACATTCACACAACCGATCCGTATGTTAGGGCATCGCGCGACAGTTCGCCGATTTTTTGCCGCATGCTGCGCGATGTGGATGGATAGAGATGCGTTATTGGCCGATTATCAGATCTCACGACGGAATACACTTTCGCAAATGTATATTCTGAGTCACTCTGGTCGAGCAGAACCCCTCCCTGATCGCGACAACCCTCGTGCAACTGCGAGCGCGCATGCCCTTCGAACGCACGGACCATCGCACCACCCGGTCGTTCACGAAAGGTAAGAAGGGGATGATTCCTCTTTTTACCCCCGCGAAACCTCTTCGCGCGCCTACGAGTTCCAAGACAATCGTCGATTCAGAATTAAGCTTAGAAGGCTCTCCGTCGCGGGTATCGCGTCGTTAGTGCAACGTTAAAATAACGGATTGTCTCGTTCTTCAACGAATACGATAATTCTTTAGGGTCTTTAGAAATAGAATAAATAGGGTATTTGGAAGTTGTTAAATAAAATGGCTCGTAACAACGGTCATAGGTAACATATATAGGAGACGATATAATTTACTCAACACAATTATAAGAGGAAAGAAAATATCTTATATTTCCACAATAGGATATTTATTTATTTAACAAACGTTTACATTACTACGGCTGTTTCTCTTTTATTGTGTATTGTGCAGAATTTAAAGATGTTCAAAGTGTAATTTTCTTGGCATTATCGCATCAATCACCGAAATCTTCTATACTTTTGTTTCTTTATTGCCCCGCTCGAATAGATATGCACAAGACATTTTTATAAAAAATATGATTTTTTATAGTAATATATATATAAACAACGCACAAGCACAATACTCGAAGACAATATTAGATATTTGTAGAAAAATAGTCTACTTACACTAAATACGCTGTGAAATATTCAGCGAACTCTTATTAGTAATGTATTAAGTTGGTGCAAAAGACTGACTGCAAGCAAAATATAAACAAAAACATATCGAAAAATAATATAACATTGAAGTCATTGTTATTGAAAATAGTTATTATCAATCAGTTAAGTGCATTTTTTTCTACATAGAAAATAGTTTTACTCTCACAAACATCTTAGAGTAGTAGCTTTGTTTGCAATACAATATAATTATATATAAAGGAACGATAAAGTTTTCGCATCAACCTAAAATATATCCAGTAAATATAAATTAAAAGTAATATTACATCAATGTTGTAATTTCTCATTCAAGGATGTAAGTGCAATATGACATACGTATATAACAATTACATTAGTGAGTGAAATATTATAAAATTGATGTAATGTTGCCGTTAGTTGATGTTTACTGGGCAAGCTTTATTTATTTCATTCTCTTTTTCAAACATCTCTTTTTAATTATCTTCAATTTCATATAACATTTATACAACTCTCTTATTTGTGCTATAGATATAAATTGATGGGAGCGATAAACTAGTCATCGAGGTATAGTTGGCATTATATGTTCAGAAAGAACATACACACGTATATAATATGTAAGAACTATATCTTTCGTACATAAGAATCATTACACACGCAACACAATATATATATATATATATATACACACACATATATATATATATATATAAGTATAAATATATATAAATTACAAATACACAAAAATCGCATTATTTTTACACCACGTAGGATTCTTTGCACATAACATTATTCTCATCTATGGTGTTGTACTTATATAAAATCATCAAGTGCGATACACACATGTATATATGTGCACACGCACATGTGTATATGTGTGTGCGTACACATCACGATATTATATATATATATATATATATATATATATCTAATATATATATATATATATATATATATATATCTCTCTCTCTATTATATTATATATATATATATATATATATAATTAGAGATACATACCAGCTGCAAGTTTTTTCAAGATTTATGGGATCTCTTCCTATGGTCATATTAATTTATTATGATAAAAGAGAAAAATCGAATGAATCAATTCGTTGCACGTTCAAGTTTTGCAAGAATAGAATTCGCACGACTTCTCTCTTGACATTATTCAATATGATTGATACCAGAAAACAATTGGATACCGAACTACCAATGTTAGTAAGTGCATTTTTTCAAAGAATACGATATATATCAAGAATGGAAGAACAGAATATAAAAATCAAATATAACAATGACTCATTATTCCTATTAGGAAAGAAAAAATATATCTACAGTAAGAAAAATCGCTAAGGAATGCCGAGTGAAATGTCGAATGTATTTCAAAATTAAATAATAATCAAAAAACGGCTCCGTTAATGAAATATGCATTATTTGTGACAATAATTTACGAGACCAAGAATTTTCTTAAGGACTAAATGCAAGAAATAAATATGTTTAATGACGAAAGTTAGAAAATTATATCGCTAAACATATCGTCTATTTTTTGGCGTTTTACGACATCTTTGTCTCCCGAAGATCGCGATCATACAAATGACAATTATAGCTATAAGAACTGCGCTTACGACCCATATTGTTTTACTGGTGTTAATCTTTGGTGTATTCTCTTGTGTATCATTTGCTACACCAGGCGTCAGTGATTCATTGACAGGAACTTTAGTTGACTCCGATGAATCGGGACTTTTTGGCTTGTCTTCCGGAATAGATATACTTGTTGTAAGTTGTACTTGGTTCGCAATATTTCTAAAGTTAGATGACATAACTTTTGTTGTTTTGTGTTTGTTTGTAATTATGACTGTAGATGCTGGTGGTGGTGGTGGTGGTGGTGGTGGTGATGTCGTAGTGAGAGCATTTATTTCTTGCAATATATGCTTCTCCAATTCTTCTAATTCTTTGTCTTCTTTTGATCCAGATTTATATTCAAAGTTTTCTTCACTTATCTCGATAAATTCTTCCAACGGTGCAAAATATGAAATGAGAGGATCCATGTATATATCGTCTATATCCAAGTTTTCGTTGAGAACATCTGGCCAATTGTGGGCGCCACCACTTTGAATCATTTTTCTACATATGAGACATAAGAGATAATGAAAGTTTGTTTAGAAACTGTATTGACATATGTATCGCCAAACATACATGTACATCTCGTAATTTTTACATTATGTTAACTTACATTATCTTGCCATTCATAAATTTTCCGTCAATGTTGTTGTATCTGACTTCGGTTGAGTCCGCCACATACTCGTATAATTGGAAAGCAAGTAACGTACCAAGGATTTTACTGCGTATAAAATATTTTTTTTTTAATATCATGTCTTTATATTATGAGAGGATTATATTTCAATCCATTAATATACTTACGGAAGATACGGTTTGTTGTCAATAATATAAATATCATCCAGGAAAGTAGGACTAACCGCATCGATGGAAGAGACACCTTCATATTCTTGCCTTGTGTACACAAATTAATATATTGTGAACACAGAAAGAAATTTTACGGAATTCTAAATATGTTTTATGCTTTATAATACCTGTGTTTCCACCAAGACGACAACAAATCCACTGGATCAGAAATATTCTTCGCAATTGCATTTAATCGCCACATGTCGGCAGAATAATAATACGTTAATCGTGGAAGTATATCTAAGGCAGTAATCATTAGAGATACAATCATGCGTTGTTCATTATCGTTGGAGGTATTCATTAAGTTAGTATGATTTAGCCATCCAGGACTCGCCGATATTATTCCAAATAATGTCGATATACTTTCTTCTAATCCTGCAAAATTGCACAAGTGCTTTTAACATTAAGCTATTTTAACATTTCGCAAGAGAGATAATTATGTATTTATGCGTATATTTGAGAAATCATTGAAATATCTTCTTACCCGAATATCTGTTAACTATATTGAGAACGGGAGTGTCCTCGACAATCATTTGATTGAATAGAATTCTCCCGACATCTTTGTGAGCTGCTATAAAATTGCTCATGGTGGCTTTGTAGCAAGTTGATACTCTGAAATAATTAAGATTCAGTTTGACAATCGTGCTGTTATGCAACAGATAAAATGTTAAAAACCTGCAGATATAATATACATGCCTCATTTTACCATCTCGACAAAGATTTAATAGTCTAGATGGACATTGTCGATTGAACTCGCTGTTCTCCCAAAATTCAGCTTGAGGAACTTGTTTGAGTAATAATGCACCCAAATTAGATGCAATTTTGTATAGAGATTTTCCTGCGTATTTCTACACAACACGATAGAGAATCTTAATATAAACCTATGATTTTTGATCTTCATGTTTAGCGTGAAATAAAATAATAGTTTCTACCTTCTTCCAGAGATTCTTCTTGATATCGTAGATTAAATTTGATTCGGCAAATAAATCTGATGGTAAATCCGCCCAATCGTATCCTTGTAAGCTACCTTCCGAATGAAATTATACAAATTTAATGAGCGAAAGTTACCGCTATTATAAGTTGGCATTTGTTCATTATTTTTGCTATATAATTTCATATTGTGCACAAAAAGTTAAACCGGAAGCTACGGATGTTAAATAAACTAAATATTCGTGTCGACGATTATAGTTCATTCTTTATCGAATTTTTCTGAAAATTGTTCTGATACTTTTTAAGCATGCAATTTCGGATATACGTGAAGCTATAATATTTATAACAAATTCAATTGTCGCCATTTACAACAATTGTCATCTTACCAAGTAAATGAGCTGGTAGTGTGTCATTTATAATAATCCCATATTTTTTGGACAAGTTCGTGCCAATGAATTTCAGAATTTTTTTATGAAGATTATTAATCCGACTCCATTCGTTCCTTATTTTCTCATACGCATCAGGATATCCTGCCAACATCTCCCAATATTCCTCAACGTTTTTGGCACCTAAAACCGAACATTTGACGTACGTTCAAATATATGTATCATGATTTTATACAGTTATTTACGCAATACACTTTAAATAATATTTACCATTTTCTTTTGCCGCTTCCGCGATAAAAGGTAAATTGTTTGAATAATTCACCATTAGCGGTTTTAATTCACGATACCAGCCGTTCCAAGCAGCTTGTTTACCGCTTGCTTCCCCGCTGTGGGACAGCAAATATTCTACATCTAAAATAATACACAATTGTGAGATTTCGGTATTATCTTTTACAGTTTATGAACTGCAATATGTATCGAATATTTATTATCTTTAATTCCGTACAACATTTGTCTACAAAATTATTTCCATTTGTAACGTTTATATATATATATATATATATATACACATATATATATAAACAAAATAAAATAAAATTATACCTTCTCGTGAATAGTTTTGCGATTTGTTGACATAACTGTTGATGGATCTTTGCAATTCTACGGTACCGACAAAGTGCACGAGCTGCAATACAATCATAAAATTTCAAAATTTTTTATATATACAAATATTATATTATATACACACACACACAGACATATATATATGTCGACTAAAAACAGTAAAAATTTCATACTTGCTTCCAATCTTCTTCTTTCAGCAGCGCGTCCCCAGGTTTCTCAATCACATCATATTTATATTTAAGTAATCGTTCGAGCTGTAATTTATTGTCATCTGTTATTGTATTGAGTATCTCGATTTTTTGTGTTTTCTTAAATATCCCATATTCGTACTGTTGCACTTCCTAAAAAGAAAAAAACAAAAATTAAAAATATTCACTTATGAGACAGAAAAGAGAGATCACAGTTTAAAAGCGCAAATATTACGATATATATTTACCCATGCGAGTAATGTTTCTTCGGAAGGTGCAACGGTAAATGACCATTGTACATTGCTGATGTTATAACATGCATCTTCATAGTCTAATTCGGTTAGCTCTAACAAGGCTTTAGTTTCACTTTCCACCGGGACGCTGCTTACATAGATAATGAGATTAAGAAAGATCCAACTCCATGTCGATAGCATCCCTTTAACCTGCGAAATAAACAGTGGCACATTTTTGGTAGATACTTCGGTTTGTTGATATTAAATAAAACCGCAAAGTGGCGGTCGTAAAAAGTATAGGAAGTATAGAAAGTACGTAAGAATCATTTAATTAATCATTTATATTAATCAAATTTAATTAATCATTCATTCAAGTATCATTTATTCGCTTTATGAGAACCGTCGGTTAGCTTATTAAGGATACAAATTAATTCAAGGTTTTTCTTAATGAAATTGAACATTAATGCACAGAAAAATGAAAATACATTTTAATCGTCGGAAATTTAAAAAGTACATACACGTACAAAGATCAGTCATTTATTCGCTTTGTGAATTATCAACTAGCTTACTAAAGTGTACAAATTAATTCACTGCTTTTTTTAATGAAATTGTACGTTAATTAATTTACAGAAAAATGAGATACATTTTAATTCTCGAAATATTCGCCACTATTTTCGGTGACTTTCCTCCATTTTTTGGACAACTGACGAATCCCTTTTCGAAAAAAAAAAAAATGACAGCTTTAAATCGACAAATTCGTCAATATTTTGTGGATTCTTCCATTGTTTCGAAGTGCGTATCAACCAGTTGATGTTGAAGTGATCGAAATATATATGGTAATCTGACGAGACTAAGTCTCACTGATACATCGCATAAGAAATATAAGAGGACACTTCCCCGCCCAAGGAACAAGTAACGTCCTTTGTCCCTTTCGCGACACGTGGTGACGAGTGTTGTCACACATGCGTCGTCACCACTTCGAAACCTCTAATATCACATTTTACAAGTTTTACGTATCACAATATCAGCTATGTATCGTAATATCAGCTTCTCCCAAAGCTAAACAAATCATATTCGCGACTTGAGCAATGTTTTTATTTAATTGAAATGCAAAAAGAATACGGTGTTTAATGTATTGTTTTTCGGACGCCATAGTGTTCACTACTGTTTTGTACGGTTATGTCATTTGCTTTGCCAAGATATAGCATTTTTTAAATATTAAGGCTGGCATTTTCAAGTTAAAATGGCAGGAAAATATTTAAATTGAAAATAGAACTATACTTGATTCGATATAAAAATACCGATATATTTAATTTGTACACCTAATATTTCCGAAAGAAATTAAGTATAGGAAAGATAATAATTCGTAGCGGTTATATGCATCGATATGCTTTGAATCTTGCGATAAAAGAAGTAATTGGTGAACAATGGTATCGCTATTTAAAAAACAGGCGCGCGAGCACTTATCTCGTATCTGATATTCCGCACTATCGTCACTAAACATTGCGCCTACGATGAATTAGTCATATATGCTAACATTGGATAGGTGAAATGAACGTGGTTCTACGAATAGTTACACGTTGAAAATCCGTGATATTTTTACGAAACTTTAGAAATACAAAAATTATGTTCACCAGAAATAGAATTTTAGGGTCAGCAGAATCATTAATTTTGTAATGTCGATTACAAAATACCATACATATTTCAAAGTCAATTGTGGATTGATCGAGAAATTGTTTACCACATATCTATATTGATTACCACGAAGAAAAAGTTGGAAGATAAATTATGAATGATGCAGACGATCATATTGTGTGACCCGTGACAGTTTGCCCGTAGAGATAAATAAGTTTTTACGCAAATAGAGGGGAAAATTAATTATATTCATATTTAGACGATGATGTAGTTAATAATATTGTTTAAGTGATATGCGCGTAATACGCGAAATACGCACGGAGAAAAATTTGTTCGTTCGTATAATTAAATTCCTGTTATCTGAGGATCGGATGAAAACTCGGTGGTGAAAATGGATAAATTTCTGCAAGACATTTCTCTTCAATAAAATGTTTTCAATTATCTTGACAAAGTTTGAATGCAGCTAAATGCTCAGAGAAATATTTTCAATCGAGGGATAACCGAGATATACTGTTTCTCGTTACTGTCGTATTACTATGTAATGTGCGAATTATCATTTGTTTATAATGTTGCGAACAAACTGCGATTTTCTTCCGCGCCGACACGTTGATGTCGATGAGAGAAAGCTGACACCAGAGCTTCAAATATAATATAAATTCCGGAAGTCTGTGAAGAAAGAAAACTTTGAGCTCGACGACACGCGCGTGTATTTTTCAAACGTAAGCAATCGGGAAAATGTAATGCTTACGTCACGTAGCGCGGTCGAGCCAATGAGACAAACATGTCTGTATATCTAGCAGACGGCGATTTACCTTGTATACGCGTGTACTCAGTCTAGTCGTAGTGATAGATCGAGAGATATATTTCTGTCTTGGCTATGCTCTCGCGAGAGTAGTACTACGCAGTCCAGAGTCACTTACATTTGATCGCGAAAGATTCTCGATTCGATCAACACGTTTGCTCTACTAGCGTCACACATGTGTGACGCACCGATTCTTTCTTCCACGAAAATCCGATCGTACCCCGATACGTACGACACTGATAATATTTCTTTTATTCTGTATGTCCAAGTAGGTAGTCTGTTATTATTATGGGAAAAAGGAAGAAAGCAAAGTGGTCTGTAGCGGATGATTTTCTGAACGAACGATGATCAGCAGATATATTCAGCGCAATGATATCTCGTTAATGCTGCCGATGGATGGATTATGCTTGTGAAATCGATGCATATAAATGAAAAATAGGCGTAACTGTTATGCAACTAGTAACCCAGGCGGGAGAGAAAATCATGACATCAAAATGACGTCAAAATGATGAATAAAACTCATCTTTTCATCACGATTCGGTCATTTTCTCGTCATTTTCGACATTGTCATGATTTTCTGTTCTGCCTGGGAAAGAGCGCGTAGAGAGAGAGAGAGAGAGAGAGAGAGAGAGAGAGAGAGAGAGAGAGAGAGAGAGAGAGAGAAGAGAGAAGAGAGAGAGAGAGAGAGAAAGAGAGAGAGAGAGTAAGATTCGAAGCAATTAAAAATTGACTGAAGTTTCTGATCGTAATTGTAGAATAAATGTCATCGTCATCTTTTTTCTTTTGCATATTATATTATATTACGCGCACTGTAGGTAAATTTAATAAATAATAAACGTTAATGATAACAATAATTTATAAATCAGAATATATTTAAAAGATGTATTGATGCAGAAAGAGGTTAACATAGAGATAACAGTGCTAGAGAAACACAAATAGAATTGAAGAACTGAAATTTCCCTCCGTGTCGCCTCTCCGTTTGAATTTCCACTTCAATTCTCCAACAATGTATAGTTCCACAATAGCACATTAGCGATCGATTTGCATAACACACACAACAAAACAAACAAAATATAATCTAAATGACAAGTCCAAAATCGTCACTTCACTGGATGGTTTTTTGACATAAATTTACTTTGAAACCGCAAGATAGCTTAAAAGAGTTGAAAAAATTGCAAAATTCAAAAAACGCTATTTAATCCTCGAGTGTTTTTTAAGGCACGTAAAAAAGGTTTCTTTGTGATCGATATAAAGACGATTCCATGTGCATTTTTCAATTAAATCACGTCTCAATTAAATCACGTCAATAAATATTATGTTTCCGCTTCATTCTCTCTCTCTTGCGTACGCGCATTAAATTTTCATTTAAAATTCTTAATAGCATAATTCAGCGTAAGAATAATTACCAAATCGTAATAAATTATGTCACAATGCTATTGTTTTCCAAAATATTTTGTAGTAAATACACGATCGAGACATCAATAAATAAGCCGTAAAAATGTCCCGATTCGCGGAAGTTACATCATAAACACAAGAACGATTCAATGATCGAGCATCGCGTGTTCTTAATTGTCAGCTTTCATTGCAGACAATTAATGTTTTTCACAAGAAGATTAGCGTCATGTTATCCCCGACAAATATTAAATCTGTATATTTTAGCAACACTCTTCACATTTGCCGCCTTAAAATTAAGACAGGTACGCGCCCAAGTGCTGTACAAATTGGAGGGAAAGAGAAGAAGAGAGAAAAAAGAAAAAGAGAGACGGAGTGAGAGAGAGAGAGAGAGAGAGAGAGAGAGAGAGAGAGAAGAAAAACAAAGGAGGGAAATGCTAGAAGCGCTCATGCCATAAACACAATAGACACTACACTATCGTTACCTTTGAGCGTAGTCGCGCTCGATTTTTCGCGGATCACACTTGCTTTGTACGACAAAGTTGACGACGGAGAGGAGGATGCGCGGACAATGCGCGCGGGCAAGGAGGAGGACCGGCCGCGCGAGAAATCGGCCGAGATTGGACCGTGAACGTGTCTGACGGGTGGGATTGTTGTACAGTGGTCAAAGTTCGTCGAGCAATTAGTTAAGGAGCGAGCGCTGATCGACGACTCACGCGTTAATAGGCCGATGCCTGTGTGTGCGACGACTGTGTGCGTTATCACCGAAGCGAGAGCTGCCCGCTTGCGCCTGACGTTGTCGCGCGACGTTGCACGTCCACCGTGTGACTACTCGTGCCAAGTTGCGATCGATCGAAATTCCTTCGCATCACGCCACTAATTCCAACGTCAGTGCATGACGATGCGTAACTGCCTGCCTGCCTGCCTGGCCGCGTGCGTGCGTTACCGTTCTTGTACCGTGGTGTGGTCGCCGTCCCTCACTCTTAGTGGCTGCTCCGAATATCACCTCACCGACCTAACCACCGTCGTCATCGGCTCCAAGGCGAGTCGTCACTGACCATAAACCGCTGCCTAGTTGCCCTTTCAGGTTTTCCACCAGCAGCGCTTGTGCATCGGCTGCGTTACACAATATGCGCGGATAGTGGTATAAAGAACTACTCTCAGTAGGTGGTGTCTTTGTGGAGCCGTGGGAACCTGTCTCGAAAGGTACACCCGATCGAGACTTGGGTACCTATTGACTCTTCTCCCGCCCCCCCCGCTCCACACCCCTTCTCGCCTCTTCACACTTCGTCTCGTTATTATGAATAGAAACAGTGCGAAATAGCATAAAGCCATCGCGAAGTGTTACTATCGGTTGGTTCTGTACCGTTGTGGATGAGCGCGCACGTGGGACCCATTGATCGACCAGGCCGGAGCCGGACTAGTTTCCCTTTGTCTCTTTCCTTTGCACGTGGGAGGAAAGAGACAGAGTAAGCAAGATGGTCGATTGTGGACACTCAGAGAGAGAGACAGTTAGGAATTAGACCGACTGTTGGTTATTGTGGGTAAAGGCAGGGAGTCTGGTTCGAAGTAACCGTGAACGCTCTTCGTCACACGTTGAGAAATATGACGTACGCAAAAGGTTGTTAATTTAATAAATGATATAATATTTCGTACGATTGCGTTATATCACACACCACATATTGTTTTATCGCAAGCGATCCGCAGCATTGCAATATTGTAAAATATATAACGCACAAATTAGTGGCCTTTAATCAATATTTGAACAGCATACCGATTGGTTGGTCTGACCGATGGTTGGTTAATACGCATCGAGCAAAGAAGAGACTTTCTGAGTAATCTTTCTCTCTCCAATATCACGATAGCACAGAAGAGGAAATAGAGAGGGGGGAAATGAGACGAAGTATTAAATATAAATGTTTGTTGAAACATACACTTTTGAACATGGAGCAATTGGTCGATAAGTTAAGATATCTCGATATTTTATCTCTCGATTGTAGAAAAAAATAATAAGGTTTGATGTGAGTACATACTTTGGTATTTGCTCTTGCTATCTTCTCAATTTACTCTCTCTCCCTCCCTCCCCCTCCACCCCCTCTCTCTCTCTCATTCACTCTTCTTCTTCTTCCCTTTTCTCTCGCTCTCTCCTTCTCACCCCTTTCTCCATCGCTCTTTTCATTTTCTTTCCCCCCTCTCTCTCTTTCTCTCTCTTTTTCTTTTTCATGGTCGCAATTCGTACTGACAGGGAAACACATGGAAATGGCCTCCTCCGATTTTGATGAGCTTGCAATGTGTAGCAATCTAAACCAAAATAAGAGATACAAATTTTGTTATACGTGTTCGATCGGCTTTTCAAGGAGTGAATCATTTACTTGAAAAAAATTGATATTTTTCTTTCGAAGTATGCATCATCACACGCATGACATACACACACACACACACACACACACACACACACACACACATATACATATACACATTGACATGCAAAAGCATAAGAGATAGAAAAAAACTTTCTGAATAAAAATATTTAAATTTGGTTTAAAGAGTACTTTATAACGACATTTCCAATAAAAACAAAAAAAATATTGAAATTTTAATTTTAAACATACATATTAAATTTTAAATATACTTCCAACATTTACAAATTTGTTTATAATCTAAAAATTTTGTTTCTATTAAATGAAAGGATATTTTATGCTGAATTCAACCATATCTGATAATGCTATTTTTCTACATACGGTCTTCCGAGAAATAGTTAAGAACATCTTTATATACTCGTAACACTATACGTAACCGTTTATCCCATTCGCTACATACATGGAGGGGGGGGAACACTTCATCTTTGAACGTTTTTATAGCAAGAGTGGATTAATATTGATATTATAGATTATATAATCATAAAATCATTTCAATATATAACAACAACAATAATAATAATATGAATCATTTTATACACGACAATAGTCATATATTCTCACATTTTGTCTTTTTGAAAAGGTATATATTCTGAAGATGAAATTTCATTTACAAGAAGTTTGTGTGTCAACTTTTTGTAGTGTGTGTGACGTAAATATTACGACGAAAACGATACAGGGAGTTGCAAGATCGGTCATGTTTATTAACGCGTTATAAATCTGGAAAAATATTCAGCGCATGCGGTAACACTATCAGCTATTGTCCTCCCATAATTTAATATTCGCATGTGTAAGATATTATTTAACAAAATATATATAATGGAATACAAAGTATGTAATCATAGAATACAATTCTGACAAACATTATTATAATATTTATACATATCGATAGATTCATACACACTGCACATGTGACGATCATGAAAGAAATATTGAACGCAAAGCTATTTCTTATACCAAGCGTAAGTAATTATAGCAATATCGTCGCAAATACCTTGTGTTGCTCTATTAGATAGTTTTCTAAACAAAAGTCTACTGGTGTTTCAAATTCTGATGGTTTTTCTTCTATATAATCACTTTTATGCCATAATGCATATTTGATAAAGTTTCTAAACTTTGGTGACCAGAACTGGTGGTGTATTAAAGATTACAATTTTAAAACAGTATAAAGTTTTATTCTTAAATATAAAAACATATATATCCTCCGGTTTCTCCAAAATATGTTATACGATTTTTCCATGTATATAAGAAAAAAACCATACATATCTAACAGTTACTTTTGACATGTTGCTCCTGCGAGTATAATTAAAAGAACGATATTTTCTGCAGAATCTGATTTATTTCTTTGAGTTAAATCTGGACAATGACCAAGCCATGAATTTACAAAGGGTTGCTTTGATGTAAAAGGTAGATTTACCACATACATTATCGTCCAGAGAGATATTCGACACGTAATACTGCGCATATATAATCTGACAGTGTTAATGCACGCGTCGAATATTTTTTAGGATTTACAACGCTTTAATAAATATGACCAATCTTGCAACTCTGTATATCGCTTCCGTTCCGCAGATCTCATGTCACGCACTGAAAAAACAGACATACAAATTATTCTCGTAAATAAAGTTTTATTTTTAAAGAGCGTAAATATAAGGGTTTCTTATAAAGATAAAATGTGGGAATGTATGGTTATATTGTTGTGTATAATAAAATAAATATCATAAGTATTGTTGTTATTATATATTAAAATTTTTTATGATTACATATTCTGCATATCAATATTAATTGTCTCTTACTATGAAGAAGTTCGAAGAAGATATGTTGCGTATCGAGTGGAGTAGGCGGTTAACGTATAGCGTTACGAGTATACATATAAAGATGTTCTTACGTATCTGTTTCTCGGAAGGTTCGTATGTCAGAAAATAGCATTATTAGATATGGTTAGATGTAGCATAAAATATCCCTCCATTTAGTAGGAACGAAATTTTTAGATTATAAAAATATCGGTAAGTGATGAGATATATTTAAAATTTCAAAATTTTTTAAAAATCTGAAAACGTCATCGTAAAGCACTTTTTCAAACCATTAAATTTTTATTCGGAAAATTTTGTTTCTATCTCTTTTATTTTTGATGATACATGCTCCGAGAGAAAAATATCGATTTTTTCAAAGAAGTGTCCTGAAAAGTCGATTGGACACGTATAAGAAAATTAATTTCCTTTATTTTCCTCTAGATTATTACATATTTCAAGTTTGTCAAAATCGGAGGGGGAACTTTCATATGTTTCCTTGTGAGTAGAAAATAATTTGCACATATGATCCATGATTTTGCATATATTGTCGTAACTTAGTTAAATAGATAAAATTAACGTACATATAATTATAGTTAATATAACTATATTTCTTATCTACACCTAATTTAATTATAAATATATTATACAACATAGTAAACTTGTGGCCACGTAAATCATGTAAAAATTGAACAGATTCTGGAGAGGTAAATAGGATTCAAATGTAGGACATTATTCGAGGAAAATGAGGAAAGAAACAGATATTGCTAATTTTTAATTTTAAATAGATTCAGAGAGAGAGAGAGAGAGAGAGAGAGAGAGAGAGGGAAAGAGAAAGTAGCAGTAATGCTGGAATTCGATTCTGAATCTCTAAGATTCGTCTAGAGGAAAGATTCCACAAAATCGATGGAAAGTATATTTTTCAGTTTCATTAAGTTTCGGTTTATATTATGGTATATGCATATACATGAATTAAATCTTAAATAAAATCTGCATAAAAGTAAACTCCACACTTAAAGTTAATGAAAAACGAGACGTGTGTATTAGCTATGTATGCTGTTGGTAACTTCATCAGAATTTGCAATTTCTTAATTTCAATGTCAAATTGTATCTCGATTAGCGTGCTTCCTCCAACAGAAGATGCTCTAAAAAGAATAGAATGTTCAAGTTCTATGCGAAATTTCTTATTAAGAATTCATGTGCGGTAGGGAACTGAGTAACCAACGTATCGCGAGTGCCTGTGACGCACATGTTTCTTTCACGCTCTCGTCGTAATTCGCTTAAGTACAGTTTGTACTAGTACCCGAAATAAAGGATATGGATCGTTAAATAAAAATTTGAGTATCACGTTTCATGTGTCGACGTACGACGCTCTTGACGCATGTAATTGACTCGTCAGAGACGCTTTTAAACAAGCACTACATTCAAGACGGCGAGATATTTGTAACGGAAATTATGTCGCACGCGTGTAATATATTATACATAAAGTGAGAATCGCTCATCTTAAAAAGGATCGTTAAAATATCAGGCGATGACTTTCCATATTTGTACATGAGATGTCTCGGCTATTGTAGCAGAAGCAGAATAAAAAAGAAATAGGATGAATATAAGAGATAAGGAAATGATGAAATGCTAAAATGTTACAGCTGTATGTATCATAATACTATCGAATATTTTTTGTGCTCCCTAAAAATAAGGATTGAATAATCATTCCTTTCTAAGATGATTGATTTAATCGTATGTTGAAAAATCTTAAACAATAATCTCTTTAATCTAATAGTTATTATCTTAATAACAAGTGTTAAATATTAAAAATAAACCAGTAGTTATTCCTTATTCGGAACATCACATATACAGGGTGTCCCAAAACAATTGTTGATCAAGACGGACGAAAATGTTCGATACCATTTTGCGATATTCGTAATAATTATCAAGTTATTAATTATAAAAGTTGGATGAATGAGCGCGCGCAGAGATCGTAAGGGAGAAGCATTTCTCCCATTCTCGGGCTGTAACGCGGTCCAGTTTTTTAATAATTATTGCCGGCGTACAGAAGGCTAGAGGAAAGATAACGCATCGCTGCGTATGCTTACTTCGCCGCTTTTACGTTTTCGTTGCATCGTGCCTAAGTTCACGTCGATACGGCCGCTAAATATTCGCAATTACAATTATAAGCTCATTTTATGAAGCAGCAGAAAATAGCTCATATTGAAATCGTAAAAAGTTCTGCAATAGAAAAGATCGAAAATTCATTCGACCTTTCTTATCGAGATCTTTCAATTTTTCTTATCGTAGAACTTGTTACGGTCTCAATGTGAGCTATTTGTGCTGCCTCATAAAATGACGACCTCATAATTGCAAATATTAAGCGGGCATATCGATGCGATGAGTTTAGGCGCGGTGCGACAAGGGAGGGGCAACGCGCCGCTTACATATGCTTGCCTAAGCAATCGCATCGATATGACCGCTAAATATTCGCAATTACGATTACGGAGCCGTTTTAAGAGAGATAGCAAAAATAGCTCATATTGAGACCGTGACATATTGAAAGTTCTGCGATAAAAAATCGAAAGGTCTTTCAATTGTTCTTATCACAGAATTTGCCGTATTTCAAGCCATGAGCTATTTCTGCTGTCTCATAAAATGGCCTTGTAATTACGTGTATTTAGCGGCTATATCGATGCGGGCTTAAGATGCGATGAGGTAAGCACATGTGCAGCGATGCAACATCCTTCTCCTCGCGTTGGTAACAATTGTTGGAATAACTGGGCCGAGAACGGCTCAAATGTTCCTCCCCTACGGTTTCTGCGCGCGCTCATTCATCCGACTTTTATAATTAATAGCTCGATCGTTATTGCAAGTATCGCAAAACGGTTTGGGACTATTTTCTTTGCTTCTCAATCCATTCTACATTCCAACGAACTGTGGATGCAATTGTTCCGGGACATCCTGTATATCGCATAAATATGTTCGAAAAGGAATCTACAAGCTGCAGTAAATGCAGTCATGGACGACCGAGAAGAGAATCAATGAAGTTTTTTTATTTTATTTACATCCTAAATTGAATCTTAATCGGATCTATGGAGATGACAATCGCTAGCAGTTATGTGGAGTCTAAAAGAAATCTTTTCGAATCCTGATTTACTCCAGCGCGACTCTCCTGGGGTCTAAAAGCTGTGGAGCAAGTTTTTCACTAAACGTTGCTCCGAATAATCGCAATCGCGAACTGTCGTCCCTGATAAATCTTAGTAGGCTCGGAATAAATCTTGCTTCCTCGACATCTGACGATGATATTCCGCTGGGACTGTCGCGCACCCTGAATTTTGACGCACTATTTGCTCTCTGAAGTTTCGCAGACTTTTTAATGTCCTTCCGCGAAAGAGGTCACACAAAAATCTGGCGATTCGCCACTTTCGTTCGCCAGCGTGATCGTGACGCTCGTTCACGCACCGGTCCCGTAAGGTCCTTCGTCATTGCGTCAGATCTTTGATCTTTTTCTCGATGAGGTATAATCGATATCATCTCGTTTGTCTTTCTATTAAAAAGGAGAAAGAAGTATCGTGAGATCACAGCTGTTCGGATTCGAAGGCCGAGTTGTCTATGCCATTCATCATCTCGGCTTTCTGCAGGTTTTTCTGCGTGTCTACGGTTCGGGAGTTCAATGCCTTGAGACTGTGATCTACCGCGTCCTCGTTCTTGTGATTGGTCGTAGCCTCCAGATCCTTCTGCTCCCTCATCAGACGATCCTTTCGGTGCTCCGTGTACAACCAGCTGATGAAACACACGCGCAATCGTTAAATGTCAATGTGATTTGCAAACTCCGTATGAATAATCGGAGGAAGAAAAGAAGCAAACATACGGAGAGGATAGCTGTAATATTTGAGGAATATAATGTTCTGTGGATTGAAAAACACGACGAAAGTCTACAACCGTGGCATCAATCATGCCACTTTGTAAGATACGACATGCGCAGTATGACGTTATCAGGTTTGATTTGACATTTTAGAGATATTAAAAGGCATTATTGTCCCGCCGGCGCGCCGCGTTGCATTCGATGACTGATGATTTATAATCGCGTGTACGCAGAGAGAGACCATCTTGTCAGATTTCACTTGTTGCCGACGTACGAATCCCTTCTTGCGTCAACTCTCTTATTGTTAAAATAAAAGATAGGCGAGAGCCCATCGCGAGATACTCACAAGAATGCGAACACGGCGGGCATCGTCATGCACGCTCCGGCGATGAAGAACGTCCCCGGAAATGTATTCATGGTCGCCGCGTAAATGGCGCTGTACATCGGCCCGTAAACGAGCGGCATCAGGGACTCGCACACGCCGAACAGCGAGTTCACCTTACCTGCGGGATTACATAATGCGTCTTATGCGGTACGAGGCGAAACAAATCGACGTGTAAAAAAGTCGTCATGTCGTCGAATGTATTTCTCTCCGGCACGCGTATACGCGCGCGCGCGTGCGGATCGTTAACGCCGGCCGGGCAGGAAGCCCTCGTTAGGCCCGCAGTTGGTTCACGACGCAGGAAAAATTAGCGCCGCGATCGTAAGTAACTTGGATCGCCGAAATTATCCGATTTACGCGATTTACGCGAAAGCGGGCGCGAAGGTGAAAAAGACCGGTGTCCGGTCCGGTAATCGAAAACACTCGCCGAGTGCGCCACAGAGCGGCACGGTTTAGTGCAATAAAACTCATTCTGAAGACGGCCGTTTATCAACCGCAACGTACTTTTTCTTTTTCAAGTGCAAGAGGTATACGCGGGGGCTCGGGGGGCGGGGGAGGGAGGGAGTGGAGTTGGATCTAACCTAACCTAACCGGTCTGAAGGGAATTTTAGAGGGCGAGGGTATTCCCCCGCTTCGGGGCTTGTACGACTTCGAGAGGCTCTTGACAATGCTTCTTGACTATCTTTCTCCTTCTCTTCTCTTATTTTTCTCCACGGCGGCGCGCAAACTTTCGAAGTAGCGCAAAAATGCGGGGAATCCCCCCGGTGATGGTACGGCGCGAGAGGTGTTTCGTCTTGATTTATTCTCGTTTGCGGCCGCTTACCCAGTTCGTCCGTGGGCACGAGCTTCGAGGCTATCGATCGCATGGCGATGAAGGATGTCCCGTTCACAATCTCCACGATAGCGGCTGAAATGTGTAATTGATTGATCGTCAGCGATATTTATGGTCATCGGTACTGCATAATGCTATAATTCGGTACACATGTAGCCGTTACCCAGACGTGTTAGGCGTTTGAGAAAGACTGACCTACGTAGACCATCCAGTCCGTGCTGGCGAACGCATATACGAAACCTGCTAAGATTTTACTCATACAGCTCATTATACCCACGATCGCGTCGTCGATCTTGAGGATGTGGCTGAAGATGCCGACGGAGACCGCGGTTCCTGTGTGTCACGAGAAAAAGTCTCCCATTCTTTTGCACAAATCATAAGCGTGACGATCGTCGTAACGTTAAGAGTGAGAATGAGGATTAGCGCATCAGCGAGGCATGGGGGCGGCTCTAGAAATTCGGAGCGCGAGTTGGAGCTAGAGAGAGAAATACGCGAAATATGCGAGAGAAACTGGAATTGTGCGCTGAAATTGAGTGAATCGCCTGAGTAAATAGAAAGTCCTCGCGATGGACACCGTACGCTGAATATACGGTAAAGGCTAAACTTTTACACCACCGTGGCGAATCTACGAGTCGCCGTGACGATTTCCATATTGCACGCGCATTATCATTCATCGTATAGGTAACTCGAGACATCGTCAGCCTCGGCGTCGGCGTTTGTGAAACGTGCTGTTGCACAATTGTATGTACGTGCGTGTTAATACTATTTTACTATCATTATGCGCACAAGTTCCTCGCTGCTCACTAACACGAGCAATTGCACATTTTCTCAAGGTAATCTCTATCCGTCACAATTTATCGGAATCGAAGTGATAATCGCGAAGTGATTCTGCTTAGCGGTCTCATTCATTCTTATATAAGATACACCGACCGTTACTTTCATCCTCGCACAGAGCTTCGATTATATTAATGAGCGCGCACCGAGCACAGCACACAGTTACAGCACGGATATCTTCGATTTGCGAAAGAAAGATGATAATTTGGATTGACGGAGATTACTATCTCTTAATAATCATACGGTGCATGCAGTATCCACGTATCCAACGATTTGACGGAAAATCTATATTTATTTCGCCATCGTCGACAAGATTGAGACGAGGAATCGTAAGATTGCGTGCAAAATTCCATGAATTTCTAATTACTACCAGGGTTGGCATGTTTTGAATTTTTTGTTTAAAATAAAAGTTTCGAACATGTTTTGCACAATAATATAATTAATAATATAAATAATAATACAATTTCGGACATACGTTTCTTTAAACATTTTTTTAGGTGCTCAATAAATTTTAGTAAAATTATTGATGATATAAATTGATCTTTTCACAAAATATCTATTTTTATATTCTTGTACATTATAGTATTACGCACACAAATGTGTACGTTATTGCACGATTATTAAAAAAATAATTATTACATATACATATATATATATATATATTATATCTATTTGTGTGTATGCATATATTTCATAATTCATTTAAATGAAATGATTTAAAAAGAGGTTTCCTTGTTAAACCACCGACTACATTTCAAAACACATCAAAAGTCAAATGTTCAAAATATACTAAAAATCAAATGCATACGTTTGAAACAGGTTTTTTGCGCTTGTTCAAAACATATTCAAAATATAAAAAAACAGTTTTGAACAGAAAAAGACACGATATTCTGTCTTCTTTTATTTTAAACATATTTTTCACCAACCATGGTCGTACGCGCGCGCGCGCATGTGTGCGGACCATTTGTTCTCACGTATTGTTAAAACGCGCAACGTGTTCTTATTTGAGGCGATCTCCTTACCGATCAGATTAGTTACCATGCCAAACGTGGAAAACATGCTGAACGTCACTTCGTTCCAGTTGTATCGGTACCGCATATAAAGATACAGAACCGCCATTTCGCCTGGAAGAAAAAGAAAATGGCAAATTTGATAATACCCTTCATTGCATCGTTGGCGCAATTGCTGTCTCCGGCGCATTTTAATCGGAATTGATTTTATGTTCGTGGAACGGTGGATTATGACTGACATGTACAACTATAAAAAATGTATCTACCTGATCCGTTTTCTGTTGAGTAACTTCCAGCTTATAGCTCTGTGTATGTGTGTGTGTGTGTGTGTGTGTGTTTGTGTGATATGTGGAAATTAGTCAATTATTTTACGCTCAAGATTTACGATTATAGGACAAACTTGATGATATGTTAGTCGTTTACGCTATATACGGATAAAATGTTACACAATTCTAACGACTTCTCAGAATCTCGGTTTATATAAGCTTCCGTTGATTGTTATTTTTCACACGAGCACGATTCGTGGCAGGTTCAACACTTTATCCGTTATTGGATATTTACAGCATCCACTTGCGGTTATTGAAGTGGATAGTGTTGAGGAAATGCAATTATTCGCGTAAACTTAGCCAACCTTGGTTTGCCATATTTGTTGCGCGTAAGAGTGAAAGTCTCTTTCTGAATCTCGCAGTTGATGTTAAAAATATAATACGAATTCTGTGTGTATGAGCCAAGTATTCAAGGTGAATTTAAAGAATTATGGAACTCTGTTTGACTCCGAGGGTGTTTGATTTGCGCTCTCAAGTGCAATCCTTAACTCTCGAGTTTACAACTCACTCCCTATCTCTGCACGCTTAAATGTGCGGACCATCGACCGTAGTCGACGGTCTGAACTCGCATAGTTGATTCGCTGAAATACTGTATTTTGCGAAGCTCCACTGCGATACATTGCAGTAATATTTCGCGAATGCAGCCAAGCGCAACGGTTTAACGTTTTCTATTCAATTACAAACGATTTTCGAGCGATTACATAGACAAGCAATTAGACCGACAATTGCTTCCTGTAGCAGTACTGAGCTAACTGCGAAGGTCAAATACAACTCCGGTATTATGTAAATGTAAAACTATACTCTCTTTCGCAAAAAAAAGCTATGGACGTTCTGTCGAAACATACGGCTCGAGATGCCCGACGGACTTTCAATCTCCGCTCGGATACGTAGTCCTCTCGAGAGAAAACGCACACGAGCATTTTTATCGAACTCTCCGGTCGAGTTTGATTGGCGCACGATCGCTGCTTCTACTAGAATTTGCAAATTTCGTGATACATTCCGCTGAAATCCGCCGGTTCGGTCGGTTTGCGGACAGGATATTTTCGCGCGCGCGCGCATGCGCGGATTACTACTTTACAGAGAAGATTATAAAGAAAATATACCTACGAGAGATATGTGACACACAGTCGGACTTTCACCGCGTAATTCTGACGATCAAACATCTGAAATTACATCGCGGTGCGCGTGTAACTATGTTCGGACGAAACATAAGTACACAGTGCCCGAGAGATTGCGTGCGTTAAAAGTATATACGATTTCGCGTGCTTTACGCGTCGACTGTGCACTGTCTCGGTAAACGTTTGAAAAATGTCAGCGTTATGAAATGTAATATTTTTGCACAATGTGATTCCTTGCGCGCAACACGATTTGCATATTTCTTCGAAAGTCAGCGGGAAGCGGGTAAGTGTATCAACCGCGACTCTGAATTCTCTTCTAAATTTAGAAAATTCGTAATTTACAATTCTAAATTCAGTTTCTCCAGATTCTCCTCTAAATTCTCGAGATTTGACACATTTTTATGGATATCGCATCAACATACGTGGATTCGTACGGGTGTTTTCTCATTCGTTATTCGAGCATGCGTGACCCAGCTGCCGTACTACACCAAAATAAGGGAAACATTAAACTAATAAAAGAAAAAAAAAGAAAGAAGAAAAAACAAAAGGACGAGTTCAAATTAAATTTAAATGTTTAATTTTTCATATAAATAGTTCAAAAAGTTATTTTTCTGACCAAACCAAAGTGTGACATTAATCTACGACGAATTATATTCAATTAATAAATGTGTTCGAATAGATGACAGGTGTAAAAATTTTATTTCTTCCATTAAACGTATTATAATTATTTATGCTGGAAACAGATGAGACCGAGTGGCATTGTTTGATGGGGTAAACTGGAACACCCTGCAATTTCAGTCAATCAGGGCGTAATTCGGGACATTTGCAGTTCGTACACTGATTCTTTTGCACAAATAAATAATCTTGTTTGTATCTCTAATTTGTATATGTGTTTTCGCTAATTTTCAATAATAACTTTCAATAAGTTTCATAGTCTCACTGTTTTGAAAGTAAACTCTCAAAGGTTAGCTTTTGCTTAAAGTGGCGTAATTCGGTACATTTACCTTGGTCTGTCTAAAAGCAAGAGAAACGAAACGACTTGAAGCTGACAAGCTGTTCGAAGGATCGAACAAGCCTTGATTGTTTACGCGTTGATTCTAATACCGCTCTCGTAGCCGAAGACATTAGACCAGCGGTACCGGGGTCCGATAGCCGGCCACCGCTCGCCCGGCCGCGCTACAAAAATAGGTTGGCCGGATAAGGGTTAATTACACGGCTCTTGAGACGTAGTCGCGTGGCCGATGACGACAACGAGAGAGTTAAGAAAAGTGAGTTCTTACGGGGCCGTACAGGTATATCGCGTTGCGGCATTCAAAATCAGGAAGACGCCCATTACACGAAATTGTTATAAGCGTGACGACTGGCCGCGTCACTTAGCAGCTGGGATAATACGTACTAATGCGTACCCAGACATTGTAATGACGGGCTACCTATATAATTAAATTGTGACAAGGGCATCCGTGAAATTGTGCGTCGCCGTACGAGCGCGCACGATCGCATTAAAGTCGCGGTAGCACGCCGTAACAAATGCGCGCTAATTGAAAAATTGAATGATTCGAGTGGTCGCGTGCTTGGAAAAGCTGCTGGCTGCAGCCAGAAGCGTTGCCACTCCGATGCCGATATCGGCATCGAGTGCTCAATGCCGAGTGCGCGTTGTCGTGCCGCGATGCATTTTTCCCGCTTTCTTTGCCATCAGACACTCTATCGGATCTAATATCTGCGAGAGAGAGAGAGAGAGAGAGAGAGAGGGAGAGGGGGTGGGTGTTTTTCTATCATTCCTTGCGATATTGACAATTTATTGAAGCGGTTTCAACCTGGGCTAGGATAATAAAGTTTATCGATAATATAAATAGAATCCAAGATACCATGAAAGCAGCAACATCAACGTTGCCGATTGAAACTACTTAATATTCTCGGTCAGACTAGTTCCGCTAAAGAACCCGCTAGACTTTTTTACACCTGCTTCACAACTTTTTATGCCATGAGTCAAGCATGTTAATGTGTATCTGCCGAAGGCTATCGTCGCGTCTCGCGAAGAAGCGTATTATTTATAGCAGCACGTAAATGCACGTATGCCATCTGTCTTTTCGTCGCTTCAGATCGGACAGATCGGACAATGTGAGCTTCGAATCCTCTCGGCCTTTTACACCAAGAAGATGATGCGCGTCGTTCCGCATTAAATTGCCTTTTTTTCGCGCTTCACGGCGTCGGCACGAAAAGCTGCCCGATTCCTTTATCGACCTTTCGATCATTGGTCGTTCACGATACATCGTAAATTTCTCAATATTCCGATCGTAGGACCGTTTTCGAAAACGCTCAACGTAGCGCGCGGCAACTTTGCTCACGTCCACGACGTGAAAATTGCACATCGACGCGTACGATAAATTTGCTGTCACGCGCGTTCTCTCTTGCACACTTGCACTCTTGCAGATTTTATCCCGCGCATATTTATCCGACAGCGATGTGCCGATCGAGACACGCGTAAATTACGCGCGGGAGCTTCGGCAGCGGGTGCACGCCGCGCTCGGATCTACGGAAACGCGTGTCTACTTTTGTTCACGTGTGTCTCTCCTTACTTTCCCCTCGTACACGCGCGATTATATATTCGCACCGTCGCGTCGGACGCGAGTGATTACCGATGGGAATGCACACACACAGTTACCGCGCGACGGCAAGTGGCAAGATTAACGAGAGAGTTACAACAGGTTTTTACCTGTGTCGCGGATGCACACGCGGAAAATGATTCTTTTTTTTTCTTATTTTTCTCTTTTGCTCAATCAAATCGAAAGGAAAACCTTTGGAGAATTGCAAATAAAGACAGCTTGCGGCTGAGAGATTAATGCCTGGCAAGCGTGACGTCGCGCGAGAAAGAAGCGTTTCAACCCACCGAGCGAACGCTTCGTAGCGTAAAAGTGAAAGATCATTGAACGCTGTTTTATTCGGCGTGCTTTTACTCAAAGATGCAAGCGCTTCTGCCGCCAGCTCTCTCTCTCTCTCTCTCTCTCTCTCTCTCTCTCTCTCTCTCGCCGACACAGTACCCTGCCCTTTGTTTTCGCCCCGCAAACAACTCTCAAAGCGCGACTCAAAGCGATCGCGAAAGCATCGGCTCGCTCGCGTCACGTCCAAGGGGTGAGACGCGCGACGACGCCATGACGCCATGAGCGGCGAATCATCTTGTTCGGCCCTTAACGACCTCGTCTCTTTTCTTCCGACCGAGTAACCTCGCGCGCGAATGACGCTGAATGCAGAAGAGCAAGGTGAAGCGAAAAGAAGAGAAGAGAAGAGAAGAGAGAAGAAGCGAGAGCGAGCGGATTTTCGCGGAGCGGAGAGATAAACTCACCGTAAAGGGGCCCGATGACGACCATAACAATGACCATGAGCACGACCACTCTCTTCTGACGGTTGTTCGCCCCGTTCTTGAACGCCACGCGAAACGTCTCCTCGATGTGCCGCAGCGAGAAGAAGTCGCAGACGAAGGCGCAGACCGAGATCCGCTTGGGCTCGCTCGGAAGGGCCTTCTTCCGCGCGCGTTCCGCGAGGACCCGCGGCGGCTCTTTGATGACCACCAGACCGTACACGAAGCTCATGATGTAACAGACGGTGGTGATGCTGAAGACACCGTAGAAACCGAGCTTCGTGTAGAGTATCCCGGACAGCGCCATGCCGATCGGCACGCCGAGCGACAGGAAGACGTTGGCCGCGCCGATTCTAAGCGTCCTCGACTCCACGGACGTGATGTCCGCTATGTAGCTGAAGATGCCCATGAACATGGTGAACCAGCCGCCGGTCAAGGCAGGCCAGAGCGCTTCCAACACGACCGCCTCCATGGGCAGCTCGTAGAACCAGTAGGTGCAGCCGATGAGGGTGACGCTGCTGAAGAACTCGCCGATGATCGGCAACAGCATGCAGGGCTTCCTAAGACCGGTGCGGTCGCTCCACGCGCCCATGAAGAGGATCAGAATGGTCGGCAAGGCGCTCTGCAGCGGCGTCTTCCAGGTCTGCATGCGCGCCACCAGCTGTTGAACGGCGGTCTCCTCGGCCTCGTAGCCGGTGGTGTTCCTAGCGGACAAAGCCGAGCACACCTCGTCCGGGTAGGCCAGGTTCACCCGGCAGGCCTTCTCGAGAATGAGATTCTGCACGGCCAAGGAGGAGAGCACGCTCGGGATGACGTAGCACGCGACCATCGGCTCGACGGTGATGTTGCTGGTGAGGAAGGACCATTTCTGCCGTATGCTCATGGACTTCCAGGTGACGGCGCAGTCGGCGGACTTCTCGGCGCAGACGGCGACCGGGTTCGCTTGCTTCTTCTCGGGTGTGACCCCAGCAGCAGCAGCAGCAGCAGCAGCAGCAGCAGCAGCAGCAGCAGCAGCAGCAGCAGCAGCAGCAGGCGCACCTTTCGTCGTCGTCGTCGTCGTGGTCTCGGACATATCTTTGTTCTCGTCGAAGGGAACAGGGTCTCTCACTCTACGTCTGGACGGCCGGCGAGCGGAGGGATGAGCGGAGTCATGTATACGCGGCGGAGGCGTGCATACGCGGGATCTCCTCTTCGTCCGGCTGTCCGAGTGTGCTGACCGAGTGGTCAAAGAGATCCAAGATCCGGCGCTGCGCGGACGAGCAGCAGTGGCTCTCGTCGGCTCGGCTCGGCGCGGCGCGACTCTGCTCGACGCGACTCGCCTCGGTTCGCCGCGCGCCACGCTCCGAGGAACGAACGAGGAACGGCCACGGCTCTCCCGCGCGGATTTCGGTTCGGTCGTTTCACGCGCGCGGAGAGAAATCGCACAGTAGTCGCCGCGACTCCCGGCTAATGCACCATCGTGCATTACGAGAGACGCCGCGCGCGCGCGCGCGCGCGCCTTTCCTTCTCTCCGCCGCCGCCGCCGCCGCCGCCGCCGGTCCAGCCAGCGCGTCCAGCGCTGGTAGCGGTACCCACACCTCTCTTTCCTCTTCCAGCCGTGTCTCTTCGGGGCTGCTCTCAGCACTCGTTGCGACTCGGAGAGCGAGAGCGAGAGCGAGCCTCTCTGCCTTCAGCCGCCGCTTCTGCAGCGCGCGACGACCTCAGTCTTCGCCGTCTTCGCGTGCATCCACCTGGGCACTAAACTGCCCCTACGCTAAGCTACTGGCTGCGTGGCTGCGTGTGCCCTCGAGAGACGCTGAGAACGTCGTCGTCAACTCGTCGTCTCGTTGTCGCGTAACTTCCGATTCCGAGTGCTCGCGCGCGCGCGCGCTCGCGCGCGCACGCTCGCACCGACGCGGAATTTTCCGGGTCAAGGTCAGTCTTTGCGACGACGTTCGTGTGCTCGCGCTGTCCGAGGCCACCACAGGGCTCTTCTTCCCGTCGCGTCTTCTTCTCGCTGGGCCATCACGCGGCCTCTATTCTCCTCCGATCATCTTCTCCTTTCGACGCGTCAAAAGCACCGCGCTGAAAAACGCACGGCGACCTTACCTTGACTCGCGCGGATGCTCCGCGATGGAGCATTACGAGCTCGGCGATGCTTCGCCGCCGTGTGTGTCGCGCGCGATGTCTCTCTCTCTCTCTCTCTCTCTCTCTCTCTCTCTCTCTCTCTCTCTCTCTTCCCCTCTGTCTCTCTGCGCCGCGATGCCGCGTGCCGCGAGCGTCTCTAACTCGATCTCGGCATCGGCGACATATCGGCGAACGGACGGCGCGTGATAATGATCGTATTCATCTTCCTGCCCACGGAGTACTTGTTCTTACGTCGGCGGATTATGATCTTCTTCGGCTTCATGTACCTCACGGTTCGACGGTGCATTGTTCCTCCTCGTCGACTTCGACGAGTGGTGATGATTGAGTCCCGCCGACTGCGCGCTCAACTGCGTAGTCGCGGCCGACTACGTCGAAGGGTATAGAAAGCGTCGCGGGGACGTTGAGCAACGCCGTTGAGCCGTGTTCCTGATGCCGTCCACGCGCGCGCGCGCGCGCGCGCGAGCGCGAGCGCGAGCGAGCGAGAGGTCTCTCTCCTCTCTCGGTGCGAACGTCCTCGGACTCGGCGTGTGTCAGCTTTCGACTCTCTCAGCGGCCACTCGCGAAACTACCGTACGATCACCTGGTGCGAGATGTGTTGCGTTCACTGCCGCGCGATCCATCCGCGCGCGAGTCGCCTACACTACGATCGATCCTCTCTCGAGCAGGCGATGTCTCTCCTCGCGTCGCGGTTATCAGCCGGAGAGAGAGAGAGAGAGAGAGAGATAGAGAGAGAGAGAGAGAGAGAGAGAGAGAGAGAGAGAGAGAGAGAGAGAGAGAGAGAGAGAGAGACGGTGTAGTCGAGCGAGCGAAGGGGTTCCGATTATCCGGAGGTGTTTTCTCCCTTGGTAGCGAAGGGTAGCGCGCGAACGAGCTGGTACGGTCGCGCGAAGACGAGCATCTTCGAGATCCGCCTGCGACGGAGCGGTGAAGCAAACGCGTATTTCTAACGAGACGAGAATCTAAAAGCGACGACGATTCAGACGCGGAAGATTCGGACGCGACTCCGTGTCTCCGATGTCTCCGATGTCGAACGGATGGCAACTGAGCGTAAACAGGGAGCGTCGTCAAATCGCTGTCGCGCGCGCGTAACTCGACGAGGCGCTGTTAAATGTGACAATTCGTTGATAAAGTAATGGCACGACGCACGGTCCCAGCGTTCTCTCGACAGTCGGAACCTATTTTAGACAGGGCCGTCCAGCAAAGCGCGATTATCCGACGCCGCATGGATTCTCGAGAGAGAGAGAGAGAGAGAGAGAGAGAGAGAGAGCCGATTGCGCGCGAGCGCGAGCGCAATCGGCTCGACCTGCCGATCGTACGATCGCGAGTTTACGCGAGGAGAGCGGCTTGCCGAGAGCGGCGCGCGTCACTTCCCGGCGAACTCGCAATTATTCCCTCGCCAAATTATTCCCTCGCGAGCGGCGCGTCGCGTCGCGTCGCGTCGCGTCCCGTCGTCCTCTCGTCCTCTCGTCCTCTTATCCGATCGACGCGCGCGCGCGCGGGCGGAAATCGATCGGCGAATATCCATCACGGCGGCGCGCGAGGAGATCGCGGCGAGATCGAAAATCGCGCGGCGCAAGGTCGCGTCCTGCCGACCGAAAGAGACACCTAGAGACGGCCCTGGCTCTTAAGTCGATCATATGACGTCGTCAAGTGAGTAATGCTCGCAATTCCAGCGATGCTTATAAAATATTCGATGCAGAGCTGTCACGGCATCTCTGTCTTGATGTTCGACCGACGAGGGTGCATCGGCGGTCGGTGTTGCCCAACGGCCCCGCCAGTTGGCCGATTCTGAAACTCTTTGGCGGCCACTCGGCGCTATAGCGTGACGGACTCGCGATTCTTCCGTGCTGCGATCAGCCGGTCGCTCGATCGATGATCGAGCACGCGCGATGTGTGAGGACTTGCCCGCCTCGATACCGAGGCTGTGTGTCACTGCCGCACACCAGCGAGAGCCGGGGCGTGTTTTTTTGTTCATTCTATTCTCGTTCGGCTAGAGGCGAATCGTCGAGATCGAGGATAATACAAGCGGCGATTTTCAACAATAACCCGTGGATAGTCACACGGCTAATGCTCGATTCCGCATTCAGCGCGTGAAGCCACTTTCGATTTTTTTTTCTCCTTGACTATCGAATTAAGTGGACAGAGGCGATTTCTCTTATATCATATTATGTTTTTTTCCTCTCCTCGACGCTCGATACAACGCTCCTGCGGCCTCGCTCTCGCGGTGCGGTCTGTCTGTGTCTCGTCGTGATTTTCATAGGCCGTTCCAGTTTCGGTGTTTATACGCTTATCTGACGCCTATAATGCGCGCGCGCGCGCGCGACCGGTGTGTTTCTTTTCCTGATGTCTTTATACGTTCTTATATATTTCATACTATTATATCGCGCGTTACCAGCAACCAGTAGAGAGTGCAATTAAGATGTGGAATACGCGTAACTGCAAAGCGCGTGGAAAGCAATTCGTTTGCGGGAAATCGTTATCTCGAGCGAGGGAGAAAGTACGAAAGGAGAGAGTGCAGCGGTATACCTTCTAGTGCTGGTACAATTAAAACGGAACGCTCTTTATCATTCATTGTGACATTTTTAAAGATTTTTCGAGTTATTTTTATTCTCGAGTTATAGTTATGTATTTTCTCATTTATCGTAATAATCGGTGACTCGCGACGTCGCGAGTAACGAGTAAACAATACTGCCCGACTGCCCGCGCAGAGTATTACTAGTTGCTGCAAATTACTTTGCCTCTTGCTTGAAACAATGAGAAACGATTGTCGGGAGATCTCAGGCTTTTTATTTAAACAGCTTTTTACAAATACTTTTATAAAAGACGAAGCGCTTCGTTCGCGATAATTCTCCATGCGGTACGTCACGCTCCAACGGATGCAGCGATTATTACCGAATCGATTAACTTCGACCGTGTGTTTAAATTCACATTATGAAAGCCGCGGCGGCTTTAATCGAGTTAATGAATGACGAGCACTTCGTAATCCTTGAACGATAGCTCCTCGCCGTCGTAGGGAATGTATAGACATCCGTGACTCGGCTGTACCTGCGGAAATATTTTACGAAATGAATATTTTTAGAAAGTTACATATTATGCAATCTTGCATAATAGCGCAGCGGAGCGCCGCCGCGTAGGATTCCGCGAGGATATATTTTATATTGCAGGTGCGCAAAATTTTCGCGAGTCACGCGAAAGCGCGTATTTCACAAGCGCAGCATAGTTTACAAACGTGCCGCTAGATCTGTATTCCGCATCTCAAATATTTTATGCGCACACGTGTGTGTGTGCAGTGTCGCGCTACAATAATAAACAACTGCCGAAAAGACCGACCTTGCCGATTGTTTGAGATCCGCTATGGAGGACACGGCCAATGTACAGAGGTTCTCCGTCTGATGTTTGACCGCCGACTACCGCGTCTGCTGGTACTTCACCGTTACTGGCAAATTGCCATGCGAATTCTCCTTGGCAGAGGACCTGACACACACACACACACACATTACCGTAATTAATCCTTAATTAATAATAATCGTAATAGCCTGCGTTATCATCGTTGCTGTCGGATCGACAAAGATTATCGGACAGCATTCGACGTTAAACGATCATACGAGAGAACTTTTTTTACTAAAATTACCATAAAATTGTCTTATTCATCCGGTTACATGCTAGATAAAACAAAAATCTCTTCAATTGTGCCACTCGTACTTCGTTGTATCGTTATATCGTTATATTCGTTGTAGGTGTATGTTGCATCTTGAGTTGCATCGAATGAATAAAATTTTTCAGTTATTTTCATCTCGTGTGTGCAAAACGGGTAAGATTCGAATAAAATTCGTGCGTTTTGCTGAATTTAGTCGAGGATCGTATCTGACACAGTTCAATGATTACTCTTGAAAAGAAACTCGATATCTTAAGATTAGATTAAAATTGAGGAAAAGAACGATAAATTGACCTTCTTCTCTTTAGCACGTTTACGACCAATCATGATCCCTCAATTATAAAACTTGTTTTAATCTTAACGTAGATACGATTAATCCGAATTCTTCTGTTACATACATACAGTACTCGTCTGATGCGTTACGTAATTATATAAAAAACTGTACATAATCACATCTAATAGCTATTACAGAATCTGAGATGAGACCGTTAGTGATCGTCGAGCGGACATTGAGTCGATAAAATTTTGCCTTAGCAAACTGTGCGAATTAACTAGCAAGGGGAAAAAGACCGTATCGTCATTTCCGCGCAGGAATCATAAATCGAAACCGATGTAACATCAGTGATTGCAATTTCCCACGTTGCAAACGCGGCAAAAAATGCACTTCTCTTGATTATTGCGTTTTCACTGGTTGTTAAAAAGTGTAGATTGTTTTTAAACGTCCGTGAAACGGCCGGAAGGTGATTCTATCAAAGTTACGTTTATTTCAGTAAGCTTCGATACTTGGAAATGTGATGAAAATTCGTCGATACTTTTTACTCACTTCGTAACTGTGCTTGGGATGTTCCTCGCCCCCGTGACAAACGTAAGCGACACCCTTTTCGGGAATCACTTTTGCCGGCAACATGTCGCCCTCGTGGAAAGCTCTGCCGACGAAAATTGTACTTCCATCTGTGTCGCGGCCACCTTGAACCGCGGTGTCTGGCAGCGACTGGGTGCCGACGCGATTTACCCACCTGTAGGCTGTAATTATGACAAATTATCAATAACGATCGACGGTGTTGTGCAAAGTTAGCCTTTTCCAGACGGATTAACTAAACTCTGCTTTTTCAATTTTAACTCAACGCATCTCAGCGGGTCGGAAAGTTTGGTCGCTTTGAATGGTCCAATGGAATTTTCAGATTGATAATTTAATTAATCATCGATAATATTCCTGCAATTTTGTAATGTGCTTGTGATGTTTCGATTCAATTGCTTAATTGCGACAGATTCGGTTTAACTCGGGTAATATTAGTCTCATGTTGTACGAAGTCTTAGTCATTTGAGAAACGAACGTGGCGTTTTATCAACATGTGTTATGTAACGCATATGGCATTCATTGCGCTGATACCCCCGTCACTCGTTTCTCGCGATTGATGTGAGATATACTTTCAACAATTTGTAATCGATGTAATTTCATATGAAACTTTGACAATCGATATAATTACAGAATTATATATATATATATTTCACAAGTTAAAACATCTAATTAAATTCAACATCGCATCTCGCATATAACATTAGAGACGGGTTTGACAAGTGTTTAATTTGTAAAATACGATCCAAACACACACGGTAATTTGCTAGACAAATGCACGCACGCACGCACGCACACACACACACCTAAGAACAACGATGATTGCTTTAACATTGAAGCGTCGTTGGACCTAATTCTGAATTAGGGCCGATCGAGACGGTATTTTTCACGACATCACTCTTATTTGCGATTGTATATAAGAGGGAAAGAAGTGAGATTTGAATTAAAGTTGATGGGAATTAAGAGCAGACACGGCGATGGAAATGAGAGCGAAATATGATTGAGCATTTCGGGGTTAGAAAAATTCACTCACACTCGTTTATATTCGCGTTATTCCGTCTAAAAGACCAAATTCGCGCACTGATATTCGCGGTTCGACTGCGATAGGTTCGCTTGTTGGTCGTCGTACGTTTGTTTAATTCCGCATTACTTTTACGATAACATTTGCGCGGTGCGTGGGCGTCTCGCACGTACGCATTTTGGCGAGAAAAATTTCTTCATAAAATTTCTCACTCACCTGGCATTTCGGAGAGAGATCGATTCAACGGATCTGCTGGCACAAAACTGGATGACGCTTATCACGGCCGTACGGTGCGTTAAAAGCCCGCGTAATCTTATCTCTCGGTAATCTTCTTGTTTGCCCACAAATTTCGCCTATCTCCCTCCTATCCTCTGTCTCTCTCTTCTTCTTACTTCTTCTTACTGTACGCATGTGAGATATGGTTTGTTCAAAATCTTCTGATACGACATGCTGTTCACCTTATATGCCCTTGTGTTGAACTTGAGGGACATCTAGCGTTTTATATCGATCGATAGAATTGTTATAATATGCGTCGGAGCGAACGTACGTATATTGTGAAAGTATTGTGCAGATTATTTTATTTTTGTCGCATATCTCGTGCGATTTTGAGTGACGTATAAATTTATCGAATCATATAATCACGTCTGTGCTTAATGAATCTGAGATCCGGATGAAGAAGTCGAGTAAACACAGTCACCGGCGAATCTTTTCGGATAATCTTTTGCACGACCTGCCGACGACAACGACGACTTATAACCACAGATTAAGCATTGGTATACTTTCATTACGGTGGGAAGCCGGAAATTGGCAGTTTAAGACTGAGGAGAGAGAGAGAGAGAGAGAGAGAGAGAGAGAGAGAGAGAGAGAGAGAGAGAGAGAGAGAGAGAGAGAGAGAGATAATTCGTTTGTCTGTATCCCTTTCCCACTCTACCTTACGATGACATCTTTTTGCAGAGAAGCTAATAGGCGTTATCGTTCTAGGAAGTGAACGGCGTGTGGGAAAGGAAAACGCGTTGTACGTGCTGAGGCGATTCTCGTCTTTTCCTTCTTTTTCTTGTCTCTTTTCGCAATACTCGAAACGATCGAGTCTTCTTCGTAGATCATTATTTAACGTTTTATTTCAGTTTTACCTTTCCACGATATGATTTATCATTGTTATGTCGTATTATGTGTTTGTCATAATACACGTATTAGGGATACCGGAAAGTCTTTTCGTATTTTAAAGCCTTCAATTTCCATGATTATACGGTACGGGTTTTCTTCATTTTAATCTAAAATTAATTTAAATTCGGGATTAGTTAACAACATTTCTTTATTGTGTATATGAACTTTCATCAAGAGCTTACTTCATTATTTTCATTGCAAAGTTTTACAGTAAAAACGATAAGACTTTCCGGCACCCCTAATAGACGGGGGACACGAGCTCTCGTAATACCTGATATACTTTATACGATATTTATTGTAATAAATAATTTCTCTTGACATTATACAACGCGTCGCGATAATAAATTCATAAAACATTACAAACCTCAAGCAGTGATTAATGTCATGCGTAGCGTACCTTACAACAGTTAATTATGCTGCGTTGCTTGTGTGTTACCTTAGCACGCATTAATCAGTTTCGCGATACAAACGCTTTCCGTCGCGCTCTCTTGTCTCTCGTCATTTTGTATTTTCGTATTCCAAAAAGCTTATTAAAATTCTCTCGCACGACCCTCTGGGTCGTGTAAGATCAACAGACTTAAGACACATTATTTCTCCATGTAATTGTCGTATGGCTGTGTGTTCAGAAAACTGTTCGAGTAGACTCGTAGACTTTTGAGATTCATTTTCGTTTTCCATTATCGTAGCGATTTAGTAACTCGCATCGTTGTTGAAGCGTTACACCGTGCGAGCAGAAAATCATAGAGATGCATATTTGCACAAATCTATTATACATATCATACATACGATTTTGATGCAACATACGTATCTCGGGATGTTTCTTTCGACACAATGCGCCACCAGATGTTATATCGTGAATACGAGTCTTGTGTTCGAACGAATCTATGATTATTATCGGTTCACTTTTTCATCTTTCCGTACAAGAATCGAAACCGTCGTCACTTTAGAGCTTGAAGATTTTTCATGTCCGATATCGGAGATGTATGGAATGTATCTTGTCAATTGCCGTGTCCACGTCATCAATCATCGCGCATATTCATTAACATTTAGATCTAACGTCACCAAAATTCTGCCGGCTTCGTTTCTCGCTTACGAATATCTTTCGCAGTGAATGATGAGTCTCTTGTGCGTCGTTCTATGAAAGATATGCTGACAGTTGTTCGATTTCGACTTAATCTGTACGATCGTTGCAACTCAAAGAAATCGATAATACCTGACATCTGTTCTCAGAAATTTATCTTTCGGCGTGTAAGAAAATGTCACCGCGACTTCGGCTTTGGCCGCCGGTGAATCGTGCAAATACGTACGCGTAATCGTAATCGATCGTCGATCGTCGTAAGTATACGCGAAATTTCTGTACAAGACTAGGATAGTTGAGAAACTAAATTATCGCCCGCAGTTCCGCAGTTCCGCACTTTGTTGAGTCCAAGTCCTAAGGAAATCCCATGTCCTCTTAGGCTTAGTAATATTTTAAGGATCTCGTGCCTTTTACTAATCCTCTTTGACGTTTACTAATTAAATATATGTGTGGAAATATCATATAGGATAATTATAATATATATATATATATATATATATATATATGGGGCATTCTCTCTGTGTCAAACGGATACCCCCCGCTGCCTGAAATTCATTTTAACCAAAAGATTTCGGACAAGGCTTAAATTATAGCTCAACATGTCTACTTTTATTTACCGTGTGACACTTTTCAAATATTCAACATGGCTGACCAAATATGGCGGCGAAACGTAGGAGAAGAAAAAATTAAGTATTTCATAAAATACATGTCAAAAACATATGGTTAAAAAGTTCTTTTTGTGCTTGAATTATACGTTTGTATACGTGTACTTTTGTGAGCTACTTGATATTTTTGATTGATTCAAAGTGGCGGCAAAACCTACCAAAAACAGCGAGAAACGTATTGAAACAGAGTGACATTTTAGCGCGACTGCTCATGGAAAAAGTGCTTACGATGGTATTGGTGCGACATTTAAGAGAGAAGCGTACAAGCCAATACAAAGCCAGTTTTATTGTGAAACCAACGGAAGCCATTTTATCGTTTGAAGCACTATTTAAATCGGCGAAGAATCAAGACTCAAAAACATCAAAATTTTTTGTTTCAGCGAAGTTGAACATAATAAGATGAGAAGAAAGTTCAACAAAAGGTTTGAATCCGCGTCGCCTGTTCCGCAAATACTTAAAAATCATTCTTTTCAAATTTCGCAACAGCAAGAGATGATTATTAAAAGGTTTTCAAACGCTACTGAAGGGATAAAAGTCTTTCTTTAGGAAATTCAAAATTAATATTGCATAGAGGAGAAAAGTGGACATACTAAGACATAGTTTAGGCACAGAAAAATACTTTTTTGAAACTATTTACAAATCTTTGCGTTGACAAATTCAGTTTCTTGTGCAGTTTCTCGTCGGTTTTAAATCCGCCATATTGAATCCGCCATTTGGAATTTTCGAAAATATCGGGTTGCTAATAGAACAGGACTTACCCACACATACAGGCTCAGTTTAAGTACAAAAATAGTTTATTCCAATCCAGTAGAGACCTTTTTGATTGAGAAATTCAAGTTTCTCGCTGTTTTTGGTAGATTTTGCCGCCATTTTGAATGCTCAAAAATATCAAGTAGCTCATAAAAATACACGTATAAACGTATAACCCAAGCACAAAAAGAACTTTTTAACCATATGGTTTTGATATGTATTTTAACAAATACCTAATTTTTTCAGCTTCTCCTACGTTTCGCTGCCATATTTGGTCAGTCATGCTGAATATTTGAAAATTTTTTTTAATTTATTTGCCACACGGCAAATAAAAGTAGACATGTTGAGCTACAATTAATTAAGCCCTATCCGGAATTTTCTGGTTAAAATGAATTTTGGGTAGCCGGGGGTGTCCGTTTGACAGAGAGAATGCTCCATATATATATATATATACATATATACATATATATATATATATATATATATATTATATACATATAAACACATTTACATTAATGTTATTGGAGACTAAAAACGAAAAGTACTTGGTTTGTTTCTACCGGATACAAAGCGGCATATCTTTTTATTTACGTAGTTTTGTTGGATTATTTGTGTATCAAAAACGCATTTTCGTATTTACTCAAGCTAATGAACTATCTTGCAGTAATGTCTTATTTGCGTTTACATCAATCTGTTATATCAGTAAGTAACGTTCACTTCTGAGACTGTAGCCAAGTAATTTTATTCTCTATATATTTTCTACAATTACTTACTTCGTATTTTGATCTCGAGTGGAAAGGCCAATTTTACAATTTTATCAAAATTTTATTCAATGCCGGTTGTTTCGTTTTTAGTCTCTGGTTACGATATACCATTGATGTCGCGATAACGGAAGAGTTCGCGAGTTCGACGTATCAGAGGCTCGATAATGAGTTAATTATAACGTTGATTTTGCTCCCAAGCTCGAACACTTTTAAGCGGGCTCGGCTCTCGTGTGGCTGAGTCTTCACTTCAAAGTACAGAAAATATGTGACGATCATCGCAGTATCTCTCGCAGTCTCTCGAGAGATATATCTCGTTTGATTAATTATGAAGTCCAAACGCGCGTGTGCGCACGCGCGGGAGTAGGTGTATTACCTTCGTCTGTTTCTTTACAATCTTCGTCGTTATATACGACGTTTTCCCGTTTCCCGGTTGCGGTGCGACCGGAGGTCGCGTTAGAGTTCAGTTATTACGATGGTAACAAATTTTTAACTACGTTTTACAAAATGAGGAGATTATCTCCTCAGTCGAGCAAAACTTTTCACTCGCGTGCGGATCGCCTGCGGATACGATTCCTCGAAGCTGCAGTCGAGGAAGCAGATGAAAAAACGTCTCGATGTAGTTGAGAAAGTTGACAACATCTCGAGAGTGAAGTAGCGACTTTTCCGGCTGAAGAAACACACATCTGCCGTACATCCGAAATCTTAAGCCCTCGAGAGGACGTGTCTCTCTATTGTGAGATATCTGTGATTCAGACGAGTGTGTTCTTAACCACGAGTTGATCCGCAGATCAAGCTAAGATTTCTTCCAAGCTCAAGACCGCGTCTTCCTGCATAACTGAGCGTTGTATAATTCCCATTTCTTCCCTCAATTCAACCTAATATCGTGCACTTTATAACAATGGCTTCGTTGCATACTATCGAGAGCGATCCAAACGATAACGAAACTCGCTTCACCTCGAGGCCCTCTTCGTCTGACGCGGAGAAACTCGCAGAACGATAATGATCTCTGACGAACACGCCTCAACGCCATGGCCGTTCACCTCGCGAAAATAATTTATCCGAATCCATTCGCTGAATCGTCTCGAGCCGCGCGCGCGCGCGCGTTTCGTTCCTACTCTTCTTCGCTGCAACAAGCTTTAACCTAACTTCGCTAGGTGTGCTGCAATACAAAAGATTCGTCTCACCCTCGACATCGCTATCCGGGGGGTCGCGTCGTCGTACACACTAACAAACATTAAATTACCTATACGCTACGTCCCTTATCGTTTATTAATGACTTACGAGTATATATCACCGTGTGTGGCTGTGTGTATGTGTGTGTGTGTGTGTGTGTGTGCGAGTCTTCCCGGAACATAGACTTGATAACTAGCTGTCGCCTAAATGCGATGTATATAGTAGCCCGTTGCGCCGATGCCCATCACTCCGCCGCGAGATCTCTCTTCGTGGGCGACAAAATGCGAATAACGTTGCGGGCTCTTCACGATCAATGGCACGAAGTCGATCCAGGTACGTGTACATCGAACGGTGCCTCGCGTCTTCTTCTTCTTCTTCTTCTTCTTCTTCTTCATCGGCATCGGCACGTTGAGGATCGGTGAGAACAACCACAATTTCGCAAGACGAGCACGAAAGTCTTTGAAACTCATTTCCCCCTCTCTCCCCCTTTCGGGAGGGGTAGAAGGAGGCCGGGCGAGGGCGCACACGCTGCTCCAGCGGATCACCCTAAACGTTCAGGTCGGCCATCATTTTGCGAAAATCCGCTAGGGTGTTGTAATCGGGGTCCGAATCAATGTCCGCGAAGTCCTTGCTGGAATCGGTCTTGACGAAGCTCGGATTATATCGGCTTAGCGATAACGGGCACGGCAGTAATTCCGGCATCACCGAGTGGTGAGTGATCAGAGCGGTGAGCGTGGTGAACTCCTTCGTGAAGCCCTGAAACAACAAGCGAAAACTGTTTATCGCTCTTACGGCGACGTCGATGTGTCTGCCGTCTCACCACGGCGCGCGATGTAATTTTTCTCTTTGGATTTCCCTCGAATCTGAGATTTTATCGTCTGCTTGGAATCGCAGGCTCACAATACACGTAATTGGAGTATAATTGGAGTTTATTGTTTTCACTGTTGTCATACCCGCGCTACGGTTGCTGCGCGGCGATGTATCGGCCGAGGAGACGTTGACATAATACATAATAGTTGGTGGAATTCTCCTCGCATTCGCGCGCGCGCGCGTATTTTCAAGCGTCGTACACGACGACAGAGAGAGAGAGAGAGAGAGAGAGAGAGAGAGAGAGAGAGAGAGAGAGAGAGAGAGAGACAGAGAGCGAGAGAGAGAGAGAGAGAGAGAACGTCGCATAATGAGGCGGGCATTAAACATACGTGTATGTGCTCGGCCGAGTTTCGTGTATCAGAATTATCACGCGCGGCATTCATTCGAATCTCGGCGCTCGGTGCCGTTACAGCGATGCAATCCCGCTCTGGTAGGGAGGAGCGGAGTTTTGATTTCCCCACGGCACCCGTCGCACATCCAACAAAACTCATTTATACTGGTTTCGGAGATTATCAAAGTCCTCGGACTCATTTAATCTATCCTACGAGGGAAGTTCGACCATTTAAATACGCGTATCCGAACGCGAGCTAAATGTGGTAGCTTTGTACCGCGCGCGGCGCGCGGTATCGCGAGTATAATGTCTCGCTGTGCTAAAAGCTCCGGTCCCGCGCAGCTAATTTCAATATTAACTTCCACATACGAAGGGTCGAGACTCCCTCACTCTCGTTCTCTCGTTCTCACTCCCTCTCCCCTCTCTCCCTCCCCCCTCTCTCTGTCTCTCTCTCTCTCTCCCTCCCTTCACCGTAGATATTATCTCGCGCGCAGTGCTGAAAAGGTTTCTATTCTCGTAACCGATGTTTGATTTGATGAGATGCGAGGAGACGTCGCGCGTGTAAATGCAATTAGCGGGAGAATACAGAGCGCGCGTCCGTTGAAATAGATCGCGGCCATTTCGAGCGAGAGTTAATCGAGTCGCGATCGCGACGCGCTCTTTGGACATTTAATCTCGAAATTCTTTTGTGCAAGAACGAGCATTGTGAGTTATCTCGATACGACGAATGCACCGAACAGCAATGAAGAGAGTGAGAGAGAGTGAGTGAGAGAGAGAGAGAGAGAGAATGAGAGAGAGACAGAGAAAGAGGGGGAGAGAGAGAGAGAGAGAGAGAGAGAGAGAGAGATTCGCGCTCTTTCCTCCTCTTCTCTTTTTAATTTCGCAAGCTTCTTTTGTATCGCAATCGCGGCCGCTCTGGTCCGGAGGAAAAATCTCACTTTGATTTTATAAGCTCCGCTTACGTGCGTTTACGGCTATCTCGACACGACGGCCACGCTGAAACAGAGAGAGAGAGAGAGAGAGAGGGAGAGAGAGAGAGAGGAGAGAGAGAGAGAGAGAGAGAGAGAGAGAGATATATATATGTGTATACTCACTTTGATTTTGTAACCTTTGTTTGTACGCATTATAAGATAATGGGCTATTCCGCTCGGCTGGAATTCACGAGGCACACGGAGAGAGAGGGCGTAACATCCGGGCTTGCTGGTGCTCTCTCGCACCATGAACGCTCCCTCCGGCTCCTGGCTCAATACCTCCAGCGTTATTTCTCTGGAATCACAGTCGCATCGTTAACGTTAAATAACGGCGAGGGGCCAGGGCAGATCTCTCTCCTTGTTGCTCCTCCTCGTTGTTCCTTCCCTCTTCTCCGCGAGAGAAGGCGAGAAGAAGGAGAAGAAGTGCTGGGATTAAGTCAGCGCGTGCAAATGACGAAGAGGAGAGCACTACTCTCCGTCGCGGTAGTGGATTATACTTCGACGAATACTTAAAATTAGCCGGCGTCGTGCTATTTCGGCGCTCGCGCGCGTCCGTTATACACCGTCACTTCCCGACGGTATAGAGGCAGTGTCGCCAGACCAACCTGGGTATTCCGGCCTGAAACCAGGGCGCTTTGCGCAGCTCGGCCTCCTCGCTTCGATTATTCAGGCTGTCTGTTCTCTCGGGCAAAGGCGGCGGGGTTGGCGTGGAGCCATGAGTGCTTCCGTCAGCGGGCACCGAGCTACTCGACGTGCTAATTTGCGATCTTCTTTTTGACTTGAAATCCGCCTCGGTCCCCGAACCGGGGCAATTGTGTCCTATCCTGAAAATGAAGGAGCTGTCGTTCACGACTCGCATGACTCCTCGCAGGAGGGTAGGAGGAGGGTGGGCAGGCGGAGCGGTCGGGCAGCTCACCTGTTGTTCTCGATGTTGAAGTTCTTCGCGGTGATGGACGCGTTGATGGTGTTGTCGAGACTCTCGGACGGCGGGATCTTGTTGTATGACGGCCTCGTACCCTCCGAGTCGATGATCGCCTCGTTTATGTAGCCCCCGGAATGGGGCCTGTTCGATGGGCTGGTCGGCGTGCTGCTACCGCTGACGAGCGGGCAGCTGTCATCCTCACCGTTCAGCCCAAGAACGTCGCGTCCACCTGTCAAACCCATCGCCAGCCGCTTTATCAGCGGCGGCTTGTCCGTTAGCCTCTTGTACGAGTTTAACTCCGTCGGCGAGTTGCTCTCATCGCTGCTCGGTGTGCTCTGCTGGGAAATGCTCTTCGACTCGTCCTCGTTCGTTATAGGCCCGAGGACGTTCGTGAACGACGGCCGCAGGCCGGGTATCGAATTCGGCGCCTGGAATCCGAATAATCGTTCAAAAGCCCGCGGACACACCGGGACGCGAGCTGTCGATGCGTGTCGGAGGAGTTTGCCCTCCCTCCCTCCCTCCCTCTCCCTCTCTCTCTCTCTCTCGCTCTCTCTCTCTCGCTCTCTCTCTCTCTCTCTCTCTCTCTCTCTCCGAATAATTCGTTGCGCGTGCGGACGTAAATACGCGAGCACAATGCGCCGATGCGCATAAAAAGTACGCTGAATCGCAGGTCTGTAGTCGGGTCTCGCCGGGCGGCGTAGAATTCTCTCACAGTTTGAAATGAATTCACTCGGAAGCGCGGCGCTCGGAGCGTCCGCTTATTTTCGCTCGACACCGCTGAAACGCGATAAAGTAGCGGGCCGGCCGCGAGTGCCCGAGTTACTCGAGTATGAATTCACCTTTACGCTGGCGAGTCGCAGCGTGGGCGAGCCGGCGCTGCCGAGCTGCACGTTCATGTCCGTTGCGGACGAACCCCTTCCAGTCCTGGAGGTGGGCGATGTCCGACTTTTCAGCCACGAGTTGGACGACGGACTCCTGCAAGCGCCTCCGGCGATCGTGTCGTCCCCGGCCAGCGATTTGTTCTGCAAAGAAAATGACGATCGTCGGCTAAATCTCGGCTCATCGAGTCGCCTCGCCGCGCCGCTTTACGACGCGACGCGGTTTACGAGGCTCCGCTGATCATCTCGCGATTCTCAGTCATCAGCGCGGCGTTGACACAGTGCGGCGCACTGCTGTTGAAGCTCCTCGAGCGGGTCCTCGACGTTTGCCTTCGGGATTTTCCTGCGAGTATTTAATCGGCGGAATCTCGCCGATTCCCAAGGCGATCTTGCTGGCGAGGCTACCGGCTAGACCGTGACGGACTGACCGTTTACTTGGAAACGCGACGCGACGCGGCGCGGCGCGGCGCGGCGCGGCGCGGCACGACGCGACGTGGCGCGGCGAGAGACTCGGGTCGAATTTATAATTAACGCGGCCTGTAAACGGGACACCTACTGGAGTCGGTGGCCCTCGTGAGACCGCGCTGAGAAAACACGGTTGTCGTCGTTGTCCCTTTCGCTTCTCGCGCTTGGATATTTAAGAAGCTCTTCCGCGAGCTGTCCCAGCCGCTTCCTCCCGGCAATGCCGCTATTCCGCTACGCGCGTACTCCAGTACCTCCACGGTACGCCGTGGTGTACCTTCTCTCCGGCAGCGTGCTCCGGCGCCGGCCGTGAATTTACAAGAATTTACAAGAAAGACTCGGATAAAGTATTTCGCGCGTATTTCGGCGAACTCGCGAAGCGCGACGCGCGGCGACGTCCGTGCTTTCGCGCGGCGGCCACGCCGGGAAAGATCCCGGATCCCGTTTTGCATAATCCTTAAGCAGATCTCTTCGCCAGGACCTTCGTTCGCTAATTGCTAAAAGCAGTTGCGATTTATACGGCGCCTTTGTGAGAAAAGCAGCAGATGGCACGATACCTACGGCCTACAGTTTGTAAAGTTGAAACAGCTTAACTTGCTGAACTTGTCTCTCTCTCTCTCTCTCTCTCTCTCTCTCCCTCTCTCTCTCTCTCTCCCTCTCTCGGCGGGCCGGTGAGAAAAGAACAAACGACATTATTAGCGCTTTAAAACGGATGACACCTCGTTAACCGGCCGCGCGGCGCGCTCTGGCTATGCTATGAAAAGTCGCCTTGTGTTCTCGCAAAGTACGCGCGTCTCGCGTCCGTCTCGCGTGCTCGAGCGATTAATTCACTTTCGCTCGTACGACGCGCCGACGGCGCGAGCACGTACCCGAAACGTACCCACGACGTTCGCTGCTCCTGCTTGTCCTTGCGATAAGTCGGCGTCGATCGCGGTGAGATTACATCCTGGAGGATCGGCTGGCGCTGAAGCTGCGCCACGTACGCCATGCGGAAAGCATTGCCAACGATGGTATTCAGCTCCTCCGCCTGCAAGCAGACAAGAAGACGCGGATTTTCAAGACGCGGCTCTTGCGTAACTTGCCGCGGCAACTCTGCGAGCTCTCTCTCTGATCGCGCGAGCGCGCTCTGATCGCCGCTCGATCGGATTGTGCAGAGTCGCGCAATTCGCCGCGAGTTACGCGAATTACGTGTCAAACTCAGGTGCCAGTGCCGCGAGAAAGATCAGTCCACGTTGCTGATTCGTTCCGTTCGAGGTAGAGAAGTATCCGGAAAAGAGGGGAAGAGGTGCGAGCCAATTGAGCCGGCCACACTGCCACAAAAATCTTACTTGGTCGGGAGCGCGGCTGAGAGAAACAAAGTTTCCTCGCCAACTCCTAATTAAATATATCGCAGAATACGTTCCTCCAATCTGTCAGAAGGAAAATCTGCGAATCATCTCTCCCGCGCGTTCCCCTCAAGGGACGAGGAGGAACCGAGCGGTCTGTAGGCGACGCTCTCTCGCAAGCAGGCGGCAGGCAGAAATCGATCGTTACGTCATCGCGCGGTATAACAGCAGCAGTTGCATCACCGTCGCTCGAGGGCGAAGACAGCGCGCGGCGGATCGACGAAATTTGCGAGTCATCCCGCATCAACGGGAGCGCCGTTCTTTCTTTCATATTTCGTGCGGCCAATTAGATATTCCCGGGTCCGCCGCGCCGCGCCGCGCCGCGGCGGAGAAGGCGAAACGAGCGGTCCAGCTGGGAAGGAGCAGACGCAGCGCGAACAGAGCGCGGGTGTCTGAATGTGTAATAAGCACTCACGGGGAGCCGCAAGCCTCGGGCTCGCCGCCGCGGCCGCGCGCGCTCGTATGTGCGTTTAGAAAACTCCAGGCCGCGCCGCGCCGCGCTTCCTAGTGCAGGTGGACCGCGCGAGCGCGCGTATGCACGTACATACACGCGCTTGACGGACGGTGGTGGTGCGCAGAGACACGTAGGTAGGCAGAAATGGGAAAAAGGTCGGCGAGGGTGCGGAAGGCTATCTCCCACCCTTTCCCGAAAGCCGGTGAAAGCCAGGACGAGGTGCGTATTAATGCGCGCACCGGCCGGCCGCCGCGCCGCGCCGCGCCGGCCGGTTGGCCGGCGAGGAGGCTGCGATTCTAAGAGGAGCATTGTACGAGCGGCAGCGGACGGACGGGCCGCGCGATTACCGTCTCATTCGCGCAACTTTTCCTTTCACGGTGCACGCAGCGGCGCGGCAGCGGCGGCAGCGGCGGCGGCGGCGGTGGCGGCGACGGCGGTGGCGGCGCGAGAGAGAGAGAGAGAGAGAGAGATACTCGTTGCGCCGGGGAAATATCCAATTGTTTCGCGTCGTCAAGTACGTACATCTCGGCTCCGCGGACTCGCATTCCTCCCCTCCCCCCCCCCTTCCCCACCGTCGCCCCACAGGCTACTTGCTTATATGTATCCTCCTCTATTCCCGCGACATTGTTAGGACATTGTTGGTAAGCGGCGCGGAAATCCTTCCAGATCGCTCCGCTCGAGTCTCGCGCCGTCGTAGGTGGCAAGTGCATTTCATTCTCGGCCGGGAGAGCCGCGGCTCGAGTGCGCCGGCGGAAATGCAAACGAAAGATAGAATCGCACGCGCAGCGAACGCGCAGCGCGGCGCCGGTGTACTCGCCAATAATACCATATTGATTTATATACACAGGCGCACGGCCGCATCTCGCGCGCTATTGTGGAGACTCGAGGCTCGAAGATATGTAGAATATCGTCGCTCGCGTCAAAGGATGAAGCGGAAGGAGGAGGAGGAGGAGGAGGGGGGGGGGAAGGGGGATGGATCGCGCACAAAGTAAGTGACAATATGTTTTATCGAGACGCATTCTCGCGGAACAACAGCTGGCTGCGCTTTTAGATTAAAGCACCGCTCGCCCGCGCGGCAACGTACACTCGAATAATTTCATGGTTTTGCGGTTTGAGGTCAGGTCGAACGATTCCACTAGGAACGAGATATTTCAATTACGTTAGCGCGCGCGCGCGCGCGCGGACCAAGCAGCAGGCAATGACTCGAGCTATAATTGCAGACTGGGCGCACGACCGCTCTCTTCGTAACTCGCTAAGTCATAACCCCGGCCGCTCTTCCGCCGCTCTGCGCGCATATAAATCGCCATTTATCCGCGTGCTATAAAGTTCACGCGTTTGCCGCGTTTAAATGCAGCGATATATGTACGGCGGGATTTTACTTTGGGAACAAGCGGGATGACTATACTTGCGAAGAGCTTATTTCCCGACCGTCCTAAATCCACGCTTTTATGAAACGCTGGCGTCTGTTGCGGAGATATCGGGGGGAGGGGGGAGGGGGAGGGGGGTTGCATCTTCAGTTCATACTCTTTCAAACATATACACGTAATACACCGCGAAGCACCAGCCGTAGCTTCCTAACGCATGATTTGCATTTTTTTTTTTTTTATGCAGGGTGTATAATTGAACATGATCATATCTAGAGACTTCTTTAATTGATAACTCAAAAATTTACATACTTATTCGCAAAATGGTGAACGATCTTTTTGTTCAGAATGATCTAATCTACAATTATATGACGGCTATTGCGTCTAGCAACATGTTCAAGATTCAGGGTTCAAAGTTCAATATACAATACATATCTATCGCTACACACAATAGGCGTCATATAATTGTAGAACAAAAAAGTCCTTCAGCACTTTGCAAGTAAATACGCAAATTTTCAAGTTATCAATTAAAAGAGCCTCTAGATGTAATTATTTTCAACCGTTAATAACTATTACGATTTTTCCAAAAATGGTACTTGACTTTTATTCCAAGTTTGATCTGTGACTAATTTTCAGAAATTTTTCGCTTTCAAAAGATCCTGTATATATAACCTTGTATATATAAACAAAATTCTCCCTTGATAGCCTTTCGACACAATCTTCATTTGTTAGAAATTTGAAGTTGATGTTTTAACAAATGGACTCAGGGCAGTCTGATGAATGTATAAACTCTTCGTATATACAGAGTGTTTCAAAAATAGATGGCCAAACTTTAAGAGCTATTCCTACTCGTTGTAAAGACGAAAAAAGGCCGTACAAGCATGGGTCCAGAAACGCTTCTTTACCAAGTTATAAAAGTTATAAATATTTTTTATTAGGTTGAATAAAAAGTATTTCGCATTTCGCGGGCAGATGGTGTCAAGAGAAAGTGTTTAGTGCAATTTTCACTCAATATTTGATACTATATATTTTTCTGAAAGGTTGGAATTTCCTGCGCTTTTTAAACTGTTAATTGTCAAAATCTATTAAATAATTTTTATTTAGCGATATTGTAAACATGAAGTAAAACAAGCAGTTTCGGTGTTCGATGCTTTCCTATTTTCACAAAAGGAATAATGCGACGCGAACCAAAAACAGATATGTACGGATAAGATACCGTAAGCGAATATGTGTGCCGAAACTGATTTACGAAATTTTGTGCTGGTGATTTGGTTACCTCACAATTTCAGCGAAAAAAGTTTAATAGACCTCATCTCCATCATACGATTTATTGCTCAAACGAAATTAAAACGTTTCACTTTTTCACCTTTAAAACGGATGATAACGGGCGATGAAAAGTGGATTAACAACTTAAAAAAGTGGTATAACAACATAGAGCGTAAAAGATCGTGGGGAAACGAGATGAACCGCCGCACGCAAACCGCATCAAAGCAAAACATCCATACGAAAAAGTCATGCTGTATATTTGGTGGGATTGGAAAGGAATCGTGTGCTACGAGCAGCTTCCGCAAAACCAAACAAAATTGATTCTAACGAGTATTGTCCCCAATTAGACTGTTTGAAAAACAGCAATCGATGAGAAGCGTCCAGAATCGAGCAATCATCATGGTGTCATATTCCACCAAGACAACGCTAGACCTTACGTATCTTTGGCAACCCGGCAAAAATTATTGCAGCCTTTGCTTGCCTGGGATGTCTCGCCTCATCCTCCGTATTCACCTGACCTAGCACCATCAGACTTTCACTTATTCAGGTCTCTGCAGAATTCCCTCAATGGAAAAAATTTCACCTCTTTGGAGGCCTGCAAAAAGCATCTTGAGCAGTTTTCCACCGTGAAAACTGGAAAGTTCTGGAAGGATGGAATCTTTAATTTGCCTGAGAAATGGCGAAAGGTTATCGAACAAAACGGTGCTCAACCCAATATTAAGCACATCTCCAGCACATTTCAGTCGCATTGCTCGAAAGTTTTTAAATAATAATTACATCAATAGATTGATAGAGGAATTGCTTGGTTAGGTTTGCACGATCTGAACCCCTTGGATTTTTATTTATGGGGATATCTTGAAATTTTCTCGTTTATGAGAAAATTTCAAGATATCCCCATAAATCCGAAACCGTTATTATCGTTTTGTGTAACAAAATACGAAATATTCTGAGAGTCTTCAAACGTTTCGTTCCGACAATCTGTGAGATGTCGATGCGAGACATGCATCGAGATACGGAAGGGAATTTTTTTCCAACAATTTCTTTGATACGTTCTTACCAAAGTCTGTTGTAAATAAAAAGTATTCATAACTTGGAGAGGAAGCTCTCCTGGACCCATATTTGTACGTTTTTTTATCCTTACGGTAAACAGAATGTACTCTGAATGTTTAGCCACCAATTTCTGAAACACCCTGTACATGAAAATATTTTTCGCAAGCACGCCACCAGAGTATGCTCGTCGGATCAAAATATACCAACGAGAGATTTTAAATTTACGTCCCTCTGAACTTTGAACTGAATATTAGCTGCTATTCGGAGAATATACAACAGCCATTCCCCTGATACGTCCCTGTTTTCACCCATCATTCGCCATCGAAATAGCGATGCGATGGATTTCTTCCAATCAGAATTCGATTGCAACATTTGCAACTCAACACACGGTTGGGACACATGGACTGATTGACTCTATTAATTTAACAATTAAATCTATCAGTTCCATCCAACGTGCGTGCGCAGAAAGCGCCAAGGCGCGAGACAGAGCGGATATCGTCAATGAAGC